TGTTATTACATCCAGCGAAATAAATACAACTGATAATAAAACGCTACAGAAAAACGTAGTTCCTACTAGATGTACAAACTCTCCACATCTTCCTAAATCATGAATACATACAGTACTAAATTAATTAGCGTCCTAGATCTAGGGTCATCAGCTGAGAAACTGAAATGCCCTGTTGTGTTCGTGTCGCACTACGATTGTGCAACTGGAGAGATCTTCTTCAGGAGAACCTTCTTGGTGTCAGCATCAGAAGCTGGGAGAGGAAGCACACAGGAGCTTTGACTGTACAACTGCTGCCTGAATGAATTAAATTCAGGGTTTATAGGACAAAGACTGACTGGTAAGACTATTCCTTTCTGAAGTCTGTATTTTAAAGAATTTTTGACTACTGAAGTCTTCTCAGTTGTTACTTGTGCTACACGATCATGGCCAAGCAGCTCTGGAACAGTAAGCAGGAAAGCAAGTTGAAAAAAGGCAAGAAACAAGTAATTTGTGATACACTGGAAAAGGAAAGAGAGAGACAGACCTGACAGGCTGTGAAGAGACAGCCCCAAGAATAATTATCGGTGGCTGTCACGTTTCTGAGCTGTGCTCTCAGTTAATTTAAGCTTCATACCAAAGCCAACTGCAGTATGTACTTGATAAAAACACTTCTCTGGAGAACTCTCCACCATGCACATGCAAGCTGCTGGCAGGCTCGGGTCCAAGCACACGAGGTGGTGGGACATCCAGGCTGACACCTCACCTCTGCGCCTGTGTGACACAAGTGTCCTTTCCTTCTCTGTCTCTGGATAGGTGAGTTGGAAGTTGCTCTTTATCACCACCTTTTCAAATGTGCTTTTCACAATATCATCCTTCAAACTTGTTCACCCACCCCCCCCGTTAACTTTTGCCTTCTTTCAGTCTTAGTTGAATCCCTCCAGATACAAACCCAAAAGCCATGATCCACAGCAGGAGGCTGAAGCTGCTCCGATGTGCCTGCAGTGAGCAGTAGTACCAGAGCCTGAGGGACTTGCTGTTACCAAGACAACACTCATAAATCTGTTTTTTCTTCTGCTCTCGTGACCTCTCTCTTTTGTGGTGATAGTGTCCTCGAAGCACACCTCCTGCTACCCACTCTCCAGCTGCTGTAGCTGAGGGCTGACTGGTAGATGAGGGACAGGGGTTTAGTCCTGTTGTCACAGTCACTAAACTCTGCTTTGGGCCTGGGAAATACCCTTGGACTCACGCACTGTCAGATCATCTCCTCTGAGGAGGAGTCTCCTAGTCGTGTAGGAGCACACCTTCTGCCAGGCTTCACCTGCTCTACCTACAAGCATGGCCATGAGCTGCGTCCTGAGACAGGTATGAGCAAGAGGGTGACAGCTTTCGCTCTGGTGCTCGTCCAGCAACAGCTCCACCAGCCCAGGAGAAGGCCCTTTTGACTTCTTGTCATGAATTTTTCCTTTCTCAGTTATTAGGTTGACGGTTGGGCAAGATGATCTTTAAGGTCCCTTCCAACCTAGAAGATTCTGTGATTCTGTAATATATTTCAAATTCCAGAAGTCCTACCCACACCTGGATGTACTGAACCTACAGGCTCTATGAAATGCATCTTGTTTCTTCTACACAGTAAGGAGCACCGTAATCTTGTTGCTGGCAAAAAAAATATATGAACTATGAAGCTTTGCATGAACAAGGGAGTGTGAGACCCGTTCCCTGAAGGGAGAGACAGTATTTTGAATTTGACTATTACATTCACCTATCTGCTCTATTTTCTTGGAGCTCTGAACACACTTCTGGATGGTTTTAAGCTGGAGATGCAGGAACAAGAGCCACAAACAGGAAAATTGGGTTGTTCTCAAATCCATCCCCCAAAACTTCAGCTACTCTGAGATTCAACTTTTCACTTCTGTCACTAAAAAGCCAGCTGAGTCCTGCTGCAGGACTGCTCCCCAAGCTCAGGAGGGCAAAGTTCCCCTCCAGATTTGCTCTTAGGGAGGGCTGTCAGAGAGCTGCACGGTGCTGGGTGCCCCAGCCTGGCAGAGGCAGGTCGAGTGTCACCTCTGAGGTCTCAGTGCCAACACCTTCATCACTGTCACAGAGCCCACGCCTGTCCCCACACACGGCAGTGTCTCCATTCAAAACTCTGCTCCGTGTATCTCACTGGACGTCTCTAGGGTTTGGAGCACATGTTTTTCCAATGAGAACTGCTTTTCTGGTGGCAGTAAAATGGCCAAAAGATGCATGTAAAAGACCAACCATGTGATGTTAGGCTGTGCCTTAAAAAGGTTCCCTTCTGCTTGACCTGGAGTGTCATTCAGAGAAGAATCTCTTCTCTTTTTGTCAAGTCCCAGGCTGTGGTCAGCTCAGCCCTGCACACATCCCACCACCACAGTAAAAACCCCTCTGTGGTGTCCATCTCACCACAGCACCATTGCTCAGGGCTGAATGAGAAGCAGTCTCAGTCCATGACCACACAGTTGCTTCTTCCTCTGTTAAGAAGGAAGTCCTTTGGGGAAGCTGGGAAAGAGAAAGAACTTCAAGCCCCTATTGCTGATCACCCTTACACTACAAATTACTCTGTGAACACACCCCAAATTTGTCTGTGAGATGTCTCTTAAGTTTCATTTAAGCCAAAAAAAGAAAAATCTTTTTAAATCAGGGTTCTCAAGTTTATCTTCACCCATTGAAAATTTTGGACAGCACAAGACCCTCTTGACAGATCCCACTCCTCCTTTCTTTGCTGCAGAGAGGGCACAGCAATCCCACCCGAAAGCTTGTCAGACTGCACAGATCTCTACCAAGACCTGCAGAACGAGGTCAGAGTGGAGGAATATATTTGCAACCTCAATACTTCCCCTTGTTACCATCTTCCCCACTGACCTCTGCCCTTAGAGTTACACTCAAAGCTACATCTAGTCCTGCAGAATGTTCAAACACCACATCTGATGCTGCTTTTCCCCTAAAACATTCCAAGATCCTTTACCAAGCAAACTGAACAGGTTTCTTCTTCTTGGGCCTCACTAAAATTAAGCAGACATATTGGCAAACACTTAAAAGGCAAGAAAATGACTTACTAGTAAGTAGAAGTGCTTGGAGATGTGCAGTCTGTGTATTTCCAAACTACAACACGCACTTCTACTTTGATGTCCCTCTGTGGAAGAGGTGAATGTTCTGGCACTAAGAGGACCCAAGGGTCTATCAGATGCTTTTCCATTCATCCTTTATGTTGAACAATGGAGGATGTTCATAAACACATCCTTAGCCTCTTATCCTTATGCCTTATCATCTCTGTTCTCAAACATTTGCACATCCCCAGCATGTGTGGAACACACATACAGACAATGTATTTCCAAGGCTACGTATACAGACAATATATTTCCAAGGCTATGTATACACACAATACATTTGCAAGACTTTCCACAGTTACTGGGAACAGCCTATCTTTTCACTAACGCAAAAAGAAAGCAGCTGAGCCTCTGTCAGCAATAGTAGATAGAAAAAAATAAAAAAATAAAATCTACTTAAGCGTGAACAGAACAATTATTTTTGTCTGTTAATTCATGAGCAGTTCTGTCCTTGGCAGAGATGTTCTCATGCTTAAGAGCAGCAGAGCCCTAAAGGCAGTGTTGCTGTTCTGCAGCACCTCTCCTTCTCTGCTGAAACTCTCTGACCTAAAGGTGTTCAAATGTATGAAGAGGCAGGAAGAGGCACCATGATGTTCCCCTCCGGGGATCAAAACATATTTTTTTTCAGGATTGGGATGACCTTGAACACTTTCATCACCAGAAAAAAAAAAAGCAGAAGAGACCCAGTCTTTCAACCTTATAGACAAGAGGCAGTGCACAGATGACATCAGCTCACTTCCACACTGAGGCTGAGAGTGGCTCAAATGAAAGCAGAACTTTTACTAAACTTTTTTGTTTCCTGCTAAGGTGCATATTAAATACTTCCTAGACAACCTGCTCCTACAACCAAGAAGGACTTTTGTCTTCACAACCTGCTGGTCTTTCTCCTGAGATTATAAACCTTGGGAATGAAAGAGTTACATATGAAAAAAACAAGGATAGATTTTTTTTCCTTACCAATTCTTACTTTGAGCCCCACTTGTGCCTCAACGCAGTGTGCCGCCGTTAGGACCCAAGACGGATGGATGAGAACCCCCCCGCAGAGAAATCTCCCTTTGCTGTTTTGAAGCATAATCTGAAACACACACACAAAAAAAAAAGAGAGGTGTGACACTGCGTGGAGCACAGCGCACAAAATACTGTACGTGTTCTTCTTTGTGGCTGCAAAAGGCACCAAATCATGTCACAGTTATTGAAGCCAAAGGTCTACAGTGGGACAAAGGCACCATGAATAAGGTCTCTGCGGAACACCTAGAGAAAAGTTTTGAATGTTCTGCCTGAATGAGCATTGACTTCATCAAGACCAGCAGGAGACAATGCTGGTCACCAAAGAAGCACTTTGGTACTTCAAAGGTTTGAAATACAGAGCTCAAATGAGGGGATTATTCTTGCATCAGAAGACAGTGCATCCTCTCAGGCTGCAGCTCTCAGGCTACCATGTAAAAAGGCCTTTAATGCTGAAGAGAACCATTTCCACGATAAGCTCTGTGAGGTCTCCCCTTTCTCTGTGGTGTCCCAACCTGCTCTGTAAAACTATGACATATTTTGCAGATTAAATTTGAATTTATGACAGATGAGGCTTATAAGAACAGACCCATGCAGGAAGGGGTGAAGATCACCTCATGCTCCCACCACAAGGCTGTTAGAGTCGCTGGAGCATGCACCATGAGTGTGGTGATCAAGTGGCCTTTCCTTGGATGGAGCAACAGAGTAGGTAAGCACCATCAAGACCCTCTCTCTTGACACTCTTGGCAAGGTAAGGTAAAAAATTTGGCAACAGTGACAAGGTCAAGAGTCTTAACAGATAATAAACTATTTTTTCCTGTTATTCCAACTTTTGGGTTGCTTTTGTAAAAGCTAAGCTAAGGGAATCTTGACATCATGTGACACCACCGCTAGCAATGTAGGAGCCTTTCTGGAGCAGCAAGGCAGGCAGAGCTGTTTGGGAAGAGCCTGAACGATCTGATAAAAAGCTCTTTTCTCCTTACCTGCCAAGGGCTGTCTCCCCTTCTTCCTGCTTTTCCCTCAATGAGCCGAATATTGAATCCTGCTTTGGCTTCATAATAGTCCATTTTCACTCGTCCACAGGGGAACTCCACTAGAATCATAGAATGGTTCAGGTTGGAAGGGACCTTGAAGACCATCTAGTTCCAACCCCCCTGCCCTGCACAGGGACACCTCCCACTAAACCAGGTTGATCAAAGCCCCATCCAACCTGGCCTTGAAGAACTCCAGGGATGGGGCATCCACAGCTTCTCTGGGCAACCTCTCCACTACAGGAGATGCAGAGGAGTTAACCAGCAAAGACCAGATCACCCGATACAAAACCTCTTTCTAAAGCATTCCCTCTGTCTCTCTAACCCAGAAAATACTATTCAGTGGCTTCATGGAAGTCCCTCAATGCTTTGTAGAGGTGGCAGTTTCCTGATTCCCCTGCGAATCCTGCTTTGGCTTCATAATAGTCCATTTTCACTCGTCCACAGGGGAACTCCACTAGAATCATAGAATGGTTCAGGTTGGAAGGGACCTTAAAGACCATCTAGTTCCAACCCCCCTGCCCTGCACGGGGACACCTCCCACTAAACCAGGCTGCTCAAAGCCCCATCCAACCTGGCCTTGAAGATCTCCAGGGATGGGGCATCCACAGCTTCTCTGGGCAACCTCTCCACTACAGGAGATGCAGAGGAGTTAACCAGCAAAGACCAGATCACCCGATACAAAACTTCTTTCTAAAGCATTCCCTCTGTCTCTGTAACCCAGGCAATACTATTCAGTGGCTTCATGGAAGTCCCTCAATGCAGAGATGGCAGTTTCCTGATTCCCCTGTTTGTCTCCATGAGGCAAACACAGGTGAAGTGGGCACAGAGTTGGGAAATGCAGTGCCAGAGTTACTCTGCACGGAATGGATGTTTTGAACAGCAGTACAAAGTGCAATGCAGGCAATTCTCCCATAAACCCCTCTTACGTCACGTTTGAGTAACCCTCTGTCAAAGCTGGACTATAGGAACATCCTCCTCTTACCTACGGGCTTGCACGTGGTGTGGTCATTCATCAGCTGGTAGCCAGACGCACAGCTGCAGGAGCGGCGCTGCCTGGCAGGGTCATCCCTGCAGAAATGTTCACATCCTCCATTATTGACAGAACAGTTGGTGTATTTGACCTCTGCAAAAAAAAAAAAAAAAGAACAGCAGGAGAGACATGAGAAGCTGGAAATCCAAAGAGTTACAGGAAGGTGAAGTGTCAAAAGGACATCGTGATTCAAGCGAGCGACAGCTGGCAATGGATTTGGGATGGCAGTCGTGGGTGTTAATGGCATTTGGGCCCCAAGACAGCAAATAGAGCCTGGTGCAGAACAAGGCAGTGGGGAGATGGAGAAAACAGAGATTACAGTCAGGGCAGGTAGGCTGGAGAAGAGAAAATTCACTGTCACGGAGCACAAGTCAGACAGTGCTAAGTGTTGATGAAACATGACATACATGTCCATCCCTAAGTACGCCATCCAGCTCTTGTCCAGGAAGAATTAGTCACAGTAATGACAATCAAATATTTGCAGTGAATTGCTTTTCCCTGGTATTATAAAAAAACCCCCACCATCACCCCTGTGCTGACTGTTCTAAAGTGAAAACCCCGCCTTACGGAATTATTTCCATTATTTTTGTAAAATTTAGATAGCTCAGATCTCCAAACCTCTCCCATGGCAACATAAAGTTCATTTTGCTTCAGATAAGCCCAGATAATCCTTTTATCACATCACGAAGCAAAAGAGAAATCACATTAGTAAAGAAAGCAAGTACACTGTGCACTGACAAAAGTGTCAATCCCTGTTACAGAGATCCCTGTCACAAAGAATGTTATTTTAGAGGGGATTAAAGGCAGCATTACCATAATTGCACAAAGCCCCCTCCCAGCCTTTGTTGCAGATGCAGGAAAATTTTCCAATGTTGTCCTTGCAGGTCCCATTGGAACAAGGCTGTGGGTCACACTGATCTCCATCTGAAACAGGAAAACACAACCCCTGACTCACACAGAACTCACAGATCAAATATTAACGTGAACGGACCCCCCCGAGACTCCCAAGCATCACCAAATGGTGGTACCTCCGTGATGCTGGCCCAGAGACAAGGGCAGTGTTTGGGTTCTGAATTACAACTGTGGGGTGATCAGGGTGGGCAGAAGGGGAAGAAAGAGCAGAGCCTGAGGCAGGTTACTGGGGAAGCGAAGAGCAGGGGTGAGGCTCCTCTTCGGGCTACATCAGGCAGGGTTAGAACATCAGAGAGCAGTTTTGCCCAGGGCCTTAGCTCGGGGGAGATGATGAATGACAGGCACAGATGCACCTCAACTTATTTTAGGAAGGTTGCTTGTATGATAGGCCTAGAAAATACTCTTTGCACGCCCCACGTAAGAGAGAATGAGAATTTGAATCAGTATGTGATACATGGCAGCAGGCAGGAAGGCCGAATACTAATTACTCTTGAGGAAACACAGAGAAATAATTAGGAAAATCTTTTACTTACCTACATACTTGGTCCAAAAATCTAGCTGTGGAGAAACAAAACTTACATTAAGGTTAGAAGCAGATTTTTCACAAGGGAGGGATTTAAAGTATCATGGTCTTGGTCAACAGAGCACAGCATCTTGGTCAACAGCATCAGTCCCATTCTTCTTGACAGTGTAGTGACTGGCACTACAAACCAACAAAACTGGCCAGCTCTGAGGTTCCTGTGTTGCCCACACTCAGCACAGATCCCCCTGCCCTGCTTGCAGACCCACCAGCCCCACAATATCTCCACAGCTCCTCTGTTTTCTTGTCACTTACTGCTGGGTGTCACCTGTGCTGTTGAGCACACAATTAATTTGTGCCCAGTTAGACAAAATGTGGGTGTTGTGAAGACAGACCTCACTCCACTCTGGGGTCTATGGGACAGCAAGGACTGGTCCATCCTACGTGACAAGCCTACTCTGCTTAATGGAGTGAGAAGAAGTCCAAGCCAACAGAATGATTGGGTGTGGAAAGGTGTGTCCAATGGAAAATATGAGATTTGGAGAAGGAGAGAGGACCCAGTGATAAATGTTTGTCAGATGCAGCTGGGAGACTGGGGAGACAGGGAAAGGCAGCCAGAGCTGGTGAATGGACAACAGAGGGCAAAGGACTGGAAGGAGTGGGAAAAACTCGGAGGCAGCAAGAATGGCCAACAGGGTCAAGCAGGGACTGGCATTACCTGGCAAGACCTAAACCTCACAATTAGGTCAGGTGGGACGGGCACAAGCAGCCAAGTTTTGTGGCCCACACAGGTGGCAACTTGACAATCACTGTAACACAATCACCTTCAAAACCATGGCTACACCTTAGGAGTCAGGAGTGATGCATATTCAGTGCAGAGAGCAAGATCTCCTGTGCCCTGGATTGCAATACTTTAAGGAAACAAACAATTGATGGGTTAAGTCTCACATCCATCCTTAAAAAAAAAAAAGAACTTACTGTTGCTTCCTTGGTTTCAAATATCTCACTGGCCTCCTCAAAGTCACACCGCTCTTCAACGCACTCACGCTCCATACAGCCTGGTTTGAGCTCCTCCAGAAAAGAGTTCGACCGCTTCTGGATTTTCAGGACTTGGTTTGCATCTTTATTGCTGTAAAATACTGGAACCAAAAACGCGAGAGCACAAGCAGGGAAAAGAGCTGGCTGGAAACTGGTAACGGTCCTTCCACTTCTCAGAGCAACAGCCCCTCTCTAGCACAGCGAGAAGCGGGCTCCAGCCTCTGCTCTGGGCCAGCCTGCAGGGCTCCCCGGGGCTGTGACCAGGTAGCCACCACGGCCCAGCACCCTGTCTCTGGACCTTTGAGAGAGGAATTCAAACCCCCCTCATGGGAATGATTCCAGCCACTCCCTGTGACTGACGGAGGAGCAGGAAACGCACTTGCGGCGGCTGGAAAAGGGTGAAGGGTACTTCTAAAACGAAAACTTACTTGAGGAACTACGGATTTGTGAAGAGCAGGCAGCAAGCAACACCCCTACGGTGACCAGCTTCCACATACTGCAGCAGGAGTCACCTGAAGAAGAGAAGGTGGGTGTGAAGGGGAGCACACTGCTGAGCTGTGGCACGACCCCCGTGCTGAAGAGTTTCTATTCAGACAGCTCAGCTCTAGCTCTTCCACTTGCTTTTCTCAGAGCAGGTCCCTTGCTGAATGCTGTGTTGGGCCCTGACTTTCTCTTGGAAAGCTCCAGCTCCAAAGCAGTCGTTCACCAGAGGCCTCCCGGGCTGGTTCCCTTCAACCCATCAGCAGCTCCCCCAAAATACTTCTTATCTGCCCCGACATCCTCCCCTTGTCACCAGACATTTGCGACAAGCTTTATGCTTCATTAAAGCATAAAGACTGTACTTTGAAATCCCAAAGGATACAATACTTTTGAAGCACTTACTGCTTTATTCACTGCGAATCAGCGTGATCTATTCTTCCGCCATGAGCTCTGCTGAAACTTAGTTAATCCATAACTTCCAGTATTTACTCTTTGGGGTGACATGAAGCGCTTTCTTTTTAGTGGTTAAACAAACATTGCTCAGAGAGAGCTTGACAATTTACCTGCATGTGGGAGAAAAGTGAAACAGCTGAGACACCCACTCTGCCTTTTCCAAATCTGTTTTTTTTTTTCCTTCTTCTAATTCTTAAGCAAATAGCTATATTTAGCTTATAAGCGTAACCACACCAGTACTGAGGTCTCCTACCACCTTCTCACAGCATGCCATCACCCAAAAGGGGCGCATATTGCTATTTTTAAGAGTCCTCCTACTTCATTTTCTCATCAAAGTTTCCACCAGGGAACTGCCAAGGCAACTAACCCCGTTACAGCCATGAGCAGGCTGTGAGGAGGCAGGGCAAGAAGCTCGTACCACTGTGCTGCATCTTTGGGTGGACTGGATTAGCCCTCATCAGCACAAAATCTTCTAGTGAATTCTGAATATTAAACATTTCAGAGAAAAACCACAATCCTTTTCAGAAGTTTTCTTGCATCGGTGAGGGTACAAGCCAGTGTGTTCTACCTTGAGCAGTGGCTCCTCCGCGAGCCCTACAACGCATGACATCTTCATGCAAATTACCTGTGCAACCACGTGTCTTCAAGAGGTCCTTTGCCACAGGAAGTGCCACCAGGTGATGGGAGAAGGTGGAGCTCCCCACCAGGATCTCAGCTCACCTCCAGTGACACTGTTGAGGAGAGCTCCGATATAACTTTTTCTTCTTTTTCCCTTACATACTTGGCCATGGACTTTCTTGAAAACAAGCTCTATTTAAACAAAGGTTTCAAAGTTCATCCATTTGGGACTTGTGCTAAAAAAAAAAAAAGATGGCAGCATCCAAAATCAGAGTTGGGGAATTCGTGCAGACTGTGATGCTCTATTGATATATTCTTGATCCTCAACTCAGCCATTCAACAAGAACATTTCCGCTGAGACTAATGAGAACAGATTTTTGCTGAAAATAAAGTTCATGAAACACACCTCAAGACAGGAAACATAAAAGAGGAAATCTGAAAAGAAACAAGTGTAGTACCATATATTCCATGTATTACTCATAATATTTGTAGCTGATCTGGGTATCTAGAAATAGAGCTTTGCTACCACATAGGTTACATGCTTTTGAATACTTCTAAGACTTGCTATAGGTTGGAAATTTAGGACATGTACATCAACTGCAAACCTAAACCATCTAAACCAATGTGCCAGCCTCCTAAACCACCCCCTCCCCCCCTTTTTTTTTTTTTAAATCTATACTGATACTCAGAAACAATCAATTTAGTTTTTCATCATTCCCTTGTGTTTTGGGGGGTTTATACTCCTGCGGTGCAGAAACAAGTATTTTATACGCCAGCACTTGGGCTTTCAGGTAATCACATGGCTCCAGGCACAGGGGATTGAAGAAAAGATGCTCCAGGATACTTCAAGATCTGCCCAATTTTGCACGCCAGGTAAACACTTCCTTATGAACAACTACAGTGTTGGGCTCACACCTTAATTCAAAAGAATAGTGATTTTCTGAGGGCTAGAAGAGGGTAGAGAGGAGAAAAGAGAAACTTCATGAGATACTGGTACGACAGAGGCTCCGTATTATTTTAATCAACACTGTGGAGAGTTCTGAATCACAGAGTGTTACGAACAGGCATTAATAATCAAAGGAAATCACCTCCCTGAGGTATTAAAGTATTATGGATCTTTCAGATTTCACAGCTTGAGGATATCCCCCCTTACAACCTGAAGAGCAAAAGCACACCAGACTGTGCACTTTGTTCTTCTTGGTTCCCCTGTGTATAAAAAAGCTAAAAGCTTTGGGTTTGCCTCTTCCACAGGAAAGCTTCTGGAAGAATCTCAAGTGCGTTCTCAGCCTTTAGCTTCTTAGCCAGGAGTGCTGAATCACTTTTCTCAATTTTTTTCCAAACCAAAAATGTAAATTTCCATAAACTAAATAAATAGTGGAGAGATGTAAATTTTGATAGATGTTACTAACACAAAATGTCACTTTTTGCGGTCTCAGAACCTTTTCATTCTGCCCATGTGAGAATTAAACACCTCCTGCTGCTCAAGGCCCAACTGGTGGGTGCACAGTTACTCGTCCCAACCAGGCACACAGCAATTTACCTTATGACTCTGAAGTTGCTTTACAACTTCATGGGAAGGACCAAGCTTCTTCTAAACCTGTTTGTTTGCAGTGCTGCCCATTCAGCAGGAGATTTCCTCAACGTCTCCTCAACTCCCCTGTATGAAAGAAAACCAAACGCATTAAAAAACCTCACACAACAGCATATAGGACAAGGGGAAAGGCAGCAGAATACATTTTTTAAAAAAGGCTCATTGGTACTTCAAGATCTTCACAGATCTCTCTCCAAATCCACTCTGCTCTCCCAAGATCCATTAGGTAAGTATCCAATTACCCATTAGGTAAGTATCCAAGAGGAGGACAGGCCCGAGCGGGAGGTCTGATATCCCAGTAAAAATACACAGAGTGAGGCAAAAAGTTTCCTGCTATTGGCTTCTAGCACATAAATAAAAATACACCAAAACAAATCACCTGTCTCAGAGGACTAAGCACATCTTCTGTCCCTCTGCTGCTGCTTTCTTGGCATGTTTCCTGTAGTGCTACTTAATGCAGAGCCAGGTCCACTGAGTGTGTGAGCAAAGGCAATCATTTTTCTTTTCTCCTTATTACTAGTATGAGGTAACTGACATTTTAATGACCGATCTTACCACTTTCATCTTGCAATAATATAAAATTACCAAGATCTTTCACATTGCTGTCACATATGCTATTCCTTCCTCACAAAGTAAATATTTCAGTTTCACTATCAAGTACAATAGTCTTTTTCACACAGAAAATATTCACAACCGTTATGAGTTACTTCCCATTTACTTTGCAACAGTCCTATGGAACTCTACAACCATCCTCTGAGTTTAAAGATTTATCTTTATATAAGATTTATCTGCTGAACGTTTCTTGTCTGCATCCTACGAACACATCGACCTGTATAAGTAGAAGAGGAAGCTCATCACAATCCCATTTGTGGACTGTTCACCCAAACGCCTCCCAATCTTTTAATTTCAAGTTTACAGGCCTCATTTTGTAGCAGACAATTTCTACATTTCATGAGGAAATTAATTTCTCCCACATTTTTGTAAATGGACAAACAACAGTTCCCCTCCCATCATGGCACCGCACCACCATGACAAGGGGGTCACACCACCCCACCTGATGAGAGGTCTCCAAGCACATGGGGGTAACTAACAAACCCCCTGCTGAGATCCCAAGATCTTTGCAGCCAGTGGAGCTACGATCAGGATGAGCAGCAGTAGAACCACCACGTTTAAAACGCCTCTTCTTTTGTTTGCTACAGAGATATAGCTAATAAAAATAAACTACACGATGTCCTCTACTCCATGCCAATCAAAATACCACAAAGAAACGCCACAAAACTCATCTACAACCATCAGGTTTACCATTTCACTGCACACAACTCCTCTCTAAGGAACAGTTCTGAACTTCTGATCAAACTCAGGATAAAGTCGTTTTATCACAGCACAGATTTTTATTAGCTGGTTCCCAGCAGACGGGCTCCGCAGCCCTCTCACACAACAAAATCAGTAACAGAGAATCTTTACTGGAAGCTCAGAAACAGGTTTACTTTATATACAAGAAAAAACTTATTTACAACAATCAACAGTAAACTATGTACAGAAAAAAAATTACAAGAGACATTTCCATGGTAATCACTGTATAAATTAACACAATAAATAGGAGGGAAGCAGGTCCCATTCTTAAGGCACAAAACCTTCTTCCCAAGACTGTACAGGGATTCACTTGCTTCCTTATGCTTTTTGACAGGATCACAGGAATGGCGGGGAGACCCCTGAGGAACAACGGTCGGTGGACGATGATATAGACATGCAGTCACTGCTGACAGCTGTAGAAAAACATCATTTTTCATCCTTTCCTTTTTTTTTTTTCCTTTTTACAGTACACACATCTTAAGATACAAAATATTTTGTGTAAACAGTCTTTTTTTTTTTTTTTAAATCACATAGATAGTATGCACATTTTTAAATAATACTAAAACGATGAACAAAGCTTTCCATACCATCCGGGTGCAGAAATGTTTCCAGGGCTGGCACTGAAGGCCTGAGCAGAGCTGGAGGCTCTCAGGCAGCCTGGCCAGGACACCTCTCACCACCCAGGTGCCACAAGCCAAACCAGAAAGACATTAATTATCCCTAATGGCCCTCCAGGAGGCTGCTGAGAGCTGCTCCACGGGCCAAACCTCCCTCAAGTCTCCATTGCATGCGCTCCCACTGAGCCCAAACACCGCAAGGCAGGGGATGCTATTCCCCAGAATCTGCCATTAAAGTTAAATATTGGGGGCAGTGCCAGAATGTGAGATAAGATGCTGAAACCTCTTCCTAGCAGAAGACACTGCAGCTCACTGCAGCCGCTGCCCCAGCATCACTGCCAAGGCTGGGGGATGATAATCAGAACGTGCCGCACGGCTTTCACACAAATAGCATTTTTTAAGAGACTAAACAGTCTCTTAAAACACTTCTCTCAAGCTGGTGTTTTACCTGAGACTGCAGGAGAGTCTCTTTTTTTTTTTTTTGGCAAAGTTTTTTTTACTAATTGTCTTTCCTGAGTTTCTCTCCCATGAAAAATTATCGGATGCCAGAAGAGGAACTTGTAATGATGTAGCCAGAGCTTCAGCCTGGCTCCCTACTTTGCAGACAGCTCTCACTGATGTGTGACACAATTTGTCCTCATCTATTCACAAAATCTCTGCAACAGAAATCTGCATTATTCCCAGTGAGACACATAGAGCTACAACCCTTCTGTGAGATAGAAACCTTAATACATAATTCAAAGGCACTCAGGTTAAATGTGGATCTCATTTTCTAGCTCTTAAAAGAAGGTAGAACTCCCTCCCTGCCTAAGGGAAGTAATAGATAAGAATATACTGGCTATGAATCCTTGGATAAAATGTGCACGTACACAAAAAGGATTTGAATCCATCAACGTGACAGATCATAAAATTAAAAGAAACGAAGACTGCTCTGTGCAAGAATCATCACTCATAGCTGATGGCCGAAATGCCTCCTCAGATATGGCAGGAATTAAGGAACATGCCTGAATCTATAAACTCTTTGGATTCCCCTGTTCCTCTAAGCAGGGAGAGGAGCTGTTTCTATTGAGGCAAGAATTCAATCCCCCAGGAATGATGCAAGGCAAGTGCATATTGTTCATGCACGTTTAACCACGAGGTTGCCTGGAGAAGCTTCACAACAAGAACAGCTCCTTGACCACAAACACAGATCTCCCCTCTTCTCCAGAGTTATCATCTGCATCGTGCTTCCCACTGTGCTCTCCTGGGCAGGCCCGTGAATGTCCTAACACTCCTGGGGACAGGCAGCTGGCTGCACCTCATTGTCACCAGCAAGGGTGGTCGTGTCCTGGAGCTCTCCTTAGTGAAGGGTTCTCCTCATTCTTGTGCAGACTCTGCTCTGTGCCTCAATGAGCAAGTGGGAAAATACAGCATGTCTACAATTCTTACTGATTTGATATCTCAGGAATTTAATACAGTGAGGGGATGCTATACTGATAAAGAAAAAATATGGCTATGGAAGTAATTGCCAATGTATAGATAGAAGAAACAAACTCAGGGCAAAGCTCAGTCCTCAGGGTACTCATATGGGAAATTTTGCTATCTGGACCAAGCACGATTAATCTTCTGTTAATTTCTCATGAGCTAGGCTGAGGGGAGACACGTAGGTGAATGACAACCAGTTAAAAACAGACAGGGAGAGTCAGAATAATCCTGGGTGAAATCTTAAAGAATGCAATTGAGTTTGCCCGGCATGAAATCAGCCCATAACCTTTTTAAGCTGACAAGTCTTTACATAAAATAACTGGACTGATTGCTGTTAGACGAGAGAGCTGATGTCAGTGTGATAAAATCCTTACAAATTACAAAAAAGAACGATGTCCTCAGGAAATTATCTTTTATGCCACTGTGTATGTGGCCATTTTTCTGTCTGCAGCCACAGCCAGAAAGGCGCCACTCTGTAGTAATAAAAAAAAAAATAAATACATACAAAATGACAAAGTAATTAAAAATTCCTGCTGTCTCTCCAGCTTTACAGCACTGAATGTTCCTGAGTTCCCTTCGCAGTGATAAACATGGCAATATAGCTTCCCATGCTGGTCTTCGGGCTTTAACAGTCATTCAACTGGGGTCAGGCAATACAGTGGAAATTTGAAGGCCATCTAGGAACTCTGATTCAGAGGCACTAATTTCTCCATGCTCCACTGCCGGTGGTACCAAAAGCAATTTACCAACATGCTCCAGTTTTCGTGATGGTGCTCATCTGCTCAGTGACAATCCTCCTTATGGCAGTGCTCTTACAGGAGCCCTGATGTTTGACACCACACGGTATCTCACTCAGGGGTACCACCCAGGAGGAGTCCCCCTAATCTTTTGGTGTCCACCTTGGAGCGAAGGAGCAAGGCAGCAAGAGAGAGAAGCAAGGTGGAAAAGCCACTAGAACTAAGACAGGCGAAAAGATGCAAGCACTACAGATAAATCATTCTCTTTTGTGACAGAAATCATTTTCTGCACTGCAAGTTGAAATAAAGAAACAGCTCTGTTGTCCGTGGCCACGAAGGTGGCACTGAATGGGCAGGAAGCCACTCCTGGCTGTTGCCAGTCATGCTGCTCCCCCCAAATGGAGCAAATTGTTCCATTTCTCACTCCGTTACTCCACTTCTCGCACAGCCCAAACAGCTGGTTAATGTTTCTTTGCCTTTCATCCGGTCTCCAGAAGATCAATTCAGAAGGGGGAGTGTCAGAGCTGACCTCCTGCAATCTTTTTGGCTCTCCAGGATTTTGTCTTTTCTTACTGCCAGGAATTTTTGACCAATTGTTTGTGATGCCTGAAAACCTGAAGGTTGTACCATTGCCACTGGCTGGAAGAGGAGCGCCAGGCCCTGCGGAAGACCCCACGAGCTGGTGGAACCGCTGTTTGAACCACATGCATTGTTTGTTGCAAGGCATAAGTGGGTGAGAATCACTGGGTACTCGTGGACAAGAGGTCTGTACTGGCTTTGAATTTCTGATGTGAATGCATTAAAAAGGGATTGGTAAGACACAAAGACAAAGCTTTGTCCCCCTTAAATGCTCTAAGATACAGGTGTGACACACAGGTGAGCGGGAAAGTTTTGGGTCTGAAAAGACTGTCAAGATGCTCCTGAACTAAGAAGACTGGCCAATATATCTTTTGCCCTGAATAATTCTACTGTGATGAAGTTATCCAGTAAAGGTAGCTGTGTTGCAATTCTCAGGAGTCCTGCACTGTCACTGGAACCAGAACTTCCCACGTCTGAGGACATGGTTCTTCAAACAGCAAGTGAGTTCTCTTGCGGGAGGCTCTGCTGACCGCAGATAAGGTGCCTCTGGGCTGGATGCAGCCGTACCCCACAGGAAAAAAGGTAGCACCATGCTGGGTTGATATGAGCTCCGAAAAGCTCCAGTTTGGCTGTCCAGGAGAGAGACAGTTGCGAGCACATCTGCTCTGTGAGGTGACTGCTGTGCAGTTAGGGGGAATGGTAGACACAGGCTGTGAAAACAGAGGCTAAACCTCGCTGGCAGGAGTACTCCGGCTCAGCTCCTTGATCCCGTGTAGTATCCTCTTCATGTGACCCACTTTGGTCACACCCAGGTCCTGGAAGAAAAGAGAAAACCTTACCCCAGGAGAAAAGCAGTGGGGAAATTCCAGGTGGCCAAGCGGTGGTTACACACTAGCCAGCCAGTTACAAAGAGAGGAGGAAGCCAACCAGAAAGACTACAAACCTGATGGTTACATAGGGAACCTCAAACCACGTGTCAAAAAGCTGTCAGAGCATGACAGGACAATGAGCAGGCACAGAGTAACAGAGAGAAACAACTACAGACCGTTAGCCAGAAATGCAAATTGCCTTGACTGTTAAAGGCCAAAGCAGGAGAACAGAAAGAACGTACCGATCTCAAGGAGCTATGTTAGTAGCCAAAACATGCAGAAAGAACCAACCAGTCACTGGTCACATCAAATAAACGTGCGAGCTCTTGGGTACCATGCAAAAAAACCCAGGCTGGCTGGCATGCAGAGGAATCAGCTACACAGATTACAGCTAACCTCAGGACAGGAAGATGGTCAAAATCACAAATGAAGACCCAAGGGGCATTCAACAAATGCCACACGCTACTTTAGGACAAAGTATTTTTCTGCTATATGCAAGTCACCAGAATGATGACCGAAATCTCTTGCACATGCCAAGAACCACCACTTTCCATTTTTCTCTAGAGAAAGCATCTCCTGGTGAGGAGATGAAAAGCTGTAGCACATGGTTACTAAGCACTATTAAAAAAAGATTCTCTCTATCTAACAACCTCATCAACACCACGATCATTATTTTTTCCTTGTACCAAAAGAAGTGCTATGATCTATTCGTGCAGTGACTACAACATAAGACCCGAATTTTCCCAACTACAGCACGTTCTGCAAAGATGGTACAGGAGCTGAGAAGTTGCAAACTTCCATACCATCATTAAAATCAGAATCTCAAGAACCCTGTCTGCAATCTGTGTGCTGGACTGTTGTTATATCTCCAGGAAGCTGTGGCAGAATGGGACAGCTGGTCTCTCAACAAGCTGTTCTATTTCCCTGCTATTAAAAATCAAGCAATGACCTGAAGTGGGAAGAAAATAAAATGAGGGCCACAATGAACCTGTTCATCTTGCCAAGGCACATGGGATGAACAGTGACTGCAATCTGTGTGCTGGACTGTTGTTATATCTCCAGGAAGCTGTGGCAGAATGGGACAGCTGGTCTCTCAACAAGCTGTTCTATTTCCCTGCTATTAAAAATCAAGCAATGACCTGAAGTGGGAAGAAAATAAAATGAGGGCCACAATGAACCTGTTCATCTTGCCAAGGCACGTGGGATGAACATGGAATGGGGCAGCCCATTTCCAAGCACATTCAGCACAGAAGGTCATGCAGATGCAGTTGGCTATTTCTCATGAGCAGATCATGAAAGTACCTTGAGGTCCCTCCGTTCGAGGTGCAGGAGCTCAGAGCCCCGGACGTCATGTCGGATGAAGATATCCTTATACTCACAGAGACTGAGATGCTCAAGCCAGGCCGCAACCTCCTCCGTTCCCCAGAGGTGAACTGTCAGAGATGGAAAAGCAGGAGTGCATTGAGTACCCAGAACCCCAGAAGACAGTGAGAGATGAGGACACCACCAGCACTCAGTGCCAGAGAAGGAGGGCAAGCGGTACCATGGCCTCAAACCCAGGGGAGGGCAAGGGCTGGGAGCACGATCTACAGTTTCAAAGGAAAATGGCAGAGAAAGACAAAGGAAAGGGCAGAGAAAGCTAAATGTGTTCTCTTAAGCAGAGGCTAGCAGTGGTAAAGCCAGGAGGAAGTGCACAGTTGTTTTGATGGCATTGGATACGCTTTTTAAACATTATCCCCATATTTAAGAAGAGTGAATTCAGTGATATTCCTTTGCTTACAAATCAAGAGAGACACGGAATACCTCGTGCAGAATCAAGCACAAGTGCTTGTGCCGTGAATTCAGTGATATTCCTTTGCTTACAAAACAACAGAGCCACAAAATACATCGTGCAGAATCAAGCACGGATTAGTTTGCTATTGTGCACAAGCTCTTGTGCTCAGTAAACAGAACAGCAACCTCTCTCCCCCAGGTCTGAGGGGAAGAGTTTAGATTTCCACCTTCTTGCACAGCCTCTAAATAAGAGAATAATGAAGTTCCCAAGTTATGGGAGGCAACGAATGACCACCAGCCTGTCAGACAGAAGGAGACTACCCGCAACTCCATGGCAGAGGACAGGACCCAGGACCCCACAGAACAGGTAGCACTTCTGAATTTCAGAAGAGGAAAATCTTCATAAGGAGAATATAAACCAAAAATCAACCAACCCAACTGGACAGAAAGTGTCTTGAATGGCAATTAGTTGATTCGTGGCCAGTTTTTATCTACTGATCGGTAGGATTAAAGGTCAGGGTGCACCTGTGGTGATGCTGATTCCCCAGCCAATTAGACAAGAAACTTGATTAAATCCTGAGGGTGAATCATTGAGAAAAACATCATTAACCATACCACAGAGAATCAATGGTGAAAAGACTGGAGTTATGCGGACTTGGGCCCCACAGTCATTTTGACACCTGAAGTGCCAAAATCCTCAAATTCACTTTCCTAAGCACCCCCTAAAATATCCCTGAAAATGTCTAGATGTTGGCAAAATTCTTCAGAGGGCACCTCCTGTTTCTGCTCAGGAATATTTGTGTAGTACTGGGGGATCATGGCTTAGATGGAACGCAGCAATAAGCTACTCTGCCATGTGGGGAAGACAGACTGGACCTCCAAGAAAAGGCAGATGCACACGAAACAGAAGAGGGAGAGAACGTGAGAGGAAACAGACAGACAGAGAACAGTGGTGTGACCACACTGGTGTGACAAAGGGACACAATGAAGGAGCAGACTTGGTACCCGGCAATCCCATGCTACTATGAGTCTCCTTATTTTTGTTGTTCTTCTCCTTTTTAAACTTGGTCACCAGCCGGAATTTGCCACTGCGGCTGCGTTTAGAATAATCCAGCATCTGGTTCTGTAAGAACAAAAAAGGGAAAAATCAGGCAAACAGTCATAAATTAACTGGAACACACCAAGAGCAACAAGTACTGTCAAGTTCAGCTCCACGTCCTTCTAAAAGAAGAAAAATAATTCTAAACTCATTCTGACCAAGATAGGAAAGGAAACAGAGAAAGCTGATTCCCCATCAGGCAAGGGACCTTAGCAGGAAATTACTTTCTTTAGCTCTAGGGAGTCAAGTTTCCTTCTGAATGATTTTTTCTCCCATCAGTTGTATATCCACAGGAAGTCACACACTCACAGCCAACTAGTGAAAAAGAGAAAAGCTAGGGAAATACAGCCTTGGTTCTCCTCACCTCCTCATCGCAGGGCTCCACGAGCTGCCACAGCCAAGGGATGTCCGCCAGTTTCCTCAGCTGGAGGTCCATGTCTGCCAGAGCTGCTTGGAGCTGCTCCTTCTGTGGAGGATCTAATTGCTGGATCAGAAATGGAAGCAAGGCAGAGTTAAAAGCCACATGGTGGAACACACAGTCAGGCCCTTGCCTCAAAATTCCTAGCTAACCAAGCAGTTCCTCCTTTAAAAAGGAAATGCACAGCAGGCACTCTGCCCAGAAGTTACCAAGTTAAAGATTTTCATGTTTTCTGAGCTCCAAACTCCCTGCAAGCTCACCTGACTGCTCATCATGCCTAGGTAGCAACACCATCCTTAACTCCTGGATGATAACATTTAAAATGACTTGTTACAAAGACAAAGAAGACCAAGACCAGCAAAATGTTGCTTGCCAAGGCAACAGTAGGAGAGGTGAGAAAGTGGGAGGCCGCTTTTACTCCTGCTCTGTGCTTCTTACCAGTGCCATCTTGCCCGCCAGCAGCAGCTCTGTCTCATTATGCAGGGCTTTGACATTATTCACCATCTCTACAACAAGGCTGCAGTTCAGACCCTGCAGGGAAGCAATTCATGCGCAAATTAAGCCTGGAAATGCAGTGGTCTGAGCAGTCAAAAGGAAGAAGTTTTAGACAAGCAAGGTCTACCGTTGGTCAATCAGAAAGGAAAACCAAGGGCTGTGGAACAAGGACAAAATGGGAGATGCCAAGTGAGTGAAGTACCTCTGTAGACTTGGATTTAGCGTAGACTTTGTCCATAGACTTGGAGCTGGCATTGACAGCATGGGCAAGCTCCTGTTCCATGTCCTGATAGGATTGGGCTATTTCCCGAATGCTAAAGAGAGAATTACAGATTGCATCAGCATATGCTCAAAGCAGGAGATATTTTCTGACCGGGTATCTCCTTTTCATACCCATCTGAGTGACAAGAGCAGGGACAGAGCACGGGAGGGGCACAGCCTCTGGCAAAGCAGGGCAATTCTCCCTGCTACAGTGGAGCATGCACAGGCAAAGCAAGGCAGATTTCACATGCACGACTCCAGGTGCATATTCAGTTCTGCACACGAGTTGGGATCAGTCTGAAATAGGACCCAGACATTGGTCTGGGTGTAGTCACAGCGATGCAAAGGGCAGCTGCACATACGGCAGTTTAAATAACACTTCTCTGATGGGACTCTAGGAATTTTCTCTGAGAGGCCCAGACCAAGGAGCTGTATGTCCAAGTAAAGGATGAGCAGGTGAGCATACAGTGACTTCTTCCAGAAATCTCTGCTGGGCAGCAGGGTCATAAGAACCCATTTTGTCACCTGAGCTCCTAGAGAGGCCTTTGTTTCATTTCTGATAAGAAACATTCAGAGATAGAGCTCCTAGAGAGGCCTTTGTTTCATTTCTAATTCAGAGATAATTCAGAGATAAGTTCTTTCAGGATTAAAGGATCCATGTTTGCTCAAGAAAGTAACATTTTTTGTTCAAAATGACCTAAGAGAGTTTATGTGACTTCAGTCCTCATGCAGCTGGGACAGTGCATAATGAAGGATGCTACGCCCAGTGACATGGATCAGCACTGCAGAAGATAAGAGTGAACAGAAACATCTCCAGGAACAGGGAGTAGGACAAAAACTTCAGGCACCAAAGGAGGGCTCTATTCACCAAAAGTAAACTGAGTCCCACCTGTGGATCAGAGCACCTGCAGCTTGACCAAACTGGTTGATCTGGGTGGATTCTTCTTCAGACATGATCTCTGGTTGCAGAGAGAAAGAGGAGGGTCGGGACAACTCACACTTCTGTTTGTCCTCCCAGGACTTCAGGGTGCTCTCAAATGCCTAAAAACACAGTAAGCAAACTATAAGATACCTTGTAAAGCTCCTGTAAAATACAATGGCTGTGCCCACGCCTGTAAAACACGTAGAGATGTGGTATAGACACTTTTCATTGCAGGACCCAGTTGTTCAGCTGCTTATAATGTTGCTAACTAGCTGTCTGGGCTGAAGCTTTCCATGCCACATGCTTGTCTTGGCTTAATTTTTGCTTAAGCTTAGTTTTAGTCCAAATTGCTAGGCCAATTCTGAGGGCCAGACTAGCAAAATCCACCAATTCCCAACTGGTGGCAGCCTCTTCTTTGAGCAGCTGCATCACCTCTACACTTCAGTATTAACTGCGCATCTCTTCAAATGACATCTCAGAGCTGGAAATTAAAAACGTTCAAGGCTCCTCCTTATCTGGAAGTAAACTGGGCTTCCCCAGTAATTGGTGGGACAAGAGGTAAACTCAGAGCTGAGACCTGTCCTACTTGCACCCTTACAGATACTTCTGCTGGCATCAGCGAGTGGTATAGGAAGAGGCAAAGCAGCTCCAATGCAGAAGGATCAAAATTGGATATGGAATGAAAACCAACAATGAACTCAAAACTGATCATTGAATGCAAGAAATGGCAAGAGAGAAGGTTTAACAAGAGAAGGGACTATGGGAGGGAAGGCTTAAACGGGAAGAATAATTCAGAGAAGATGCTGAGGATAAGCAGGGGTGCAATGCTTGCATGAAAAAAAAAAAAAATCAGCATGTGGGGAGCCAGCAAAGGAAGGGAGATTGATGGTGATGGGTGGATGGGAAAAAGGAAGAAAATGGTAGCCATGGATCCAGGGACTGGGCAGTCAAACAAGGTGAGTGCAGACTCTGTAGGGAACAAATGACTAAGGGCAGAGGAGACAGATGGAGCAGAAACAGCAGTATCCACTAGAACACAACTGCCTTTGGGGACGACCCAATGTTCTGGGGACACACCATACTCCTGCATCTGCAAACACCTGTGAAGTCCTGTGGTAAAGCATTCCCTTCCCCTACTGCTTCTCACACAGGACAAAATCAGGCTCTGTCAGCTCAGTGCAAGCCATCTGCTGATCTCAATCTTGCTGGTGACTCTTCAGCAGTCCAGATGAGGCCACGAGGGAATTTAGGAAACTAAATATCCCAAATCCTATTTGAAAAATGCTATGAAAAGCATGAAAAGAGGACCCCATTTCATCTACTGCACACGACATATTTGCTCTGTGTAGGAACGGGTGTGCAACGATGATCAAAAGGACAGCAGGAAAAACAACGATTAACCAACACTCAAGACAAAAGCTCTTGAAAAGAGCTCAAAAGTTGCTCTGCAAAACTGGAACCTCTTCCTCAGTGCCAATTCCATACTTGCAAAACTGGGTTTGTAGGCAATGAGGAGTGGGACAGCACAACCATAGCCGTGGCTTTAGATGGCCCCCCCCACAGCACACTCACTGGGGACTTGTGTATCCTCTCCACCTCTTGTTCTTCACTCTGCCTTTCCCACCATACTCACACATCGGTTTCCTCTCCTTTTCTCCCCCTCCCAATTTTTTTACAGCAGGAATCTTGTTCCCCCTTGCTCTCTGTGCTTCCTCCTTCAGTCGCTCCCCCTCAAAGCCTCAGTGTGATGTTGCAGAAGCTCACTGTCCTTCCAGGAAAGACTGTGCACACAATTCCTGTCTCCTCCTCTTCCCAGCATCCGCTCCAACACCCACTGTTCTCTCCCAGCTCAAGGGTAGGTCAGGGCAATACCCAAGATCCATGACAGGGGCTTTGTACGCCCACCTTCACTTTCTTTTCATACCATCAGACTTGTGACATCCTGTTGGGAATATCCCTAAGGCCTGCATCAGGCTCCTGTCCCTTTTTCCTCTTGGTTGTCCTCTCTTTTCTTGTCACTCAGGTGAGTCCTTTGCAAAGGACTTGCAGAGGTTTGCTCTGGAAGCTGGGTAAAGGGCATTTTGCTGGAAAGTATTAAGAGATGCTATCAACTAAACTGTTTACCCATGGGCAGTTACAGAGTTGAGGGGAACCATAAAGCCTGTTTGTGCCACAGCAAGGCCTTTCTCCTCTCCTTTGGCTTACCACCAGTCAGTAATACAGTAAAACGGCAAGGACACTTCCTTACATGCTGGTACTCATCAGATGTATTTGAAAACTATGAGATGCGACAGACACGCGCTGCTGAACAAGGCATAAGATGCTGCTTTACTTGCTCAACGAGGTATAAGGCACACATTGAACAATAAGGAGAAATTAACACATTGAGTAGCTGAATCTAGACAATCTGCGGCGCTCGAGGAGACGGGCATCCTGTGGGAAAAACAGCATGCAAGCGTGTTAAGAAATGCTGTCATGAGACACCTAGAAAAGGAAGCAAAATAAGCTTGCATCAACAACCTTATTTATGCCATTTCCCAAGTGGTGAATGCAAGTTTAATCATGTTCATTCCAAAATGTTTTTTGGTGTGGAGCGAAAGATGCTTCTTCCATTCACAAAGATGAGCTTTCAGGTGTGGCCATTGCCACGCTCCTCAGGAGTATGTGACATCAAAACCTGTGTGTAGGACAAAGTGTACACAACCTTATTTATGCCATTTCCCAAGTGGTGAATGCAAGTTTAATCATGTTCATTCCAAAATGTTTTTTGGTGTGGAGCGAAAGATGAGATGCTTCTTCCATTCACAAAGATAAGCTTTCAGGTGTGGCCATTGCCACGTTCCTCAGGAGTATGTGACATCAAAACCCGTGTGTAGGACAAAGTGTATGCAAGGCTGCTCTTACCCTGTCTCGGGTGAGGGTCTGCGCTCTGTTCTTATGAACAATCCAAATGTAACCTGGAGGCTGGATCCAGGCTTCTCCATCCACTTGCACAGGAACTCCTTCTTCTCCCAGGATTGCTATCTTCACCGTCCGACACTGCAAGAAGTGATTCATCAAAGAAGCTCTAAAATGTTTGTTTTCCGAAAGCATCAGACATTCTCCTTCTTGCCAAGGTACTTCCCCTGCTACCGTAGCTTTGGGGCTACCAGAGGCACAGGAGCCTGGGTGGCCTAGCTCTTGTGTGGCACAGACCATTTGCTGTGGCTTTGGTCTAATCTGTGTTTGAACTGGTGGTGTAACTCGCACCAAATAATTCCATGCCTAAATTGCCCCTGGACATACTCATTTTCACCCTGGTGGATGCTCTTTCCATGGATAAAAGAGAGCACAAAAACAGGATTTATGGATTGAAATTGGCAAAAACATCACAAGCTGGACATGGAGGAGGCAAGAAGAGCCCACAAAAGCAATTGATACCTGTGCAATCCGGTGATGCTGTAGGTTTATCACTCGTGACACTGCCATCTGCATGCTACCAAACACTGCCACCACCTCCAAAATCTTGTCATCGAAGGAGGGGGCTGTAAATGTCTGGCCAGATACAAGGGAAAGAGAATTCAGTTGACTACAGCTCTGTTGGGAGAGGTTTCCTTTCCCCTCTATTGGTGAAGATTTGGGGGTTGGCTTTCAATTGTGCTTTTTAAACTGTGTAAAATTAATGAGGCTAGAAAGTGAAGATTTGCAGTGAGCTAGGAGGGAGAAAAAGAAGCCTGTGGCAGCTAACACAAAGGCCGTAGGCTACAAGGCAATAATCATGAGAGGGAGCACTTTTTCATCTCAGATAATACAATGTTTCTGACTGGATCTGACTCCTGTTGTCTTCAAGGGGTTTTACTTCTCAAGCAGGCTGAGGGGAGAAGGCCAATCTAAAGCCAATCCTAGAAGCCCAAATGCTCAGGACAGCATTTGTATTTTTTCTGAACCCCTACTTGGATGCAAAGGTGCTGAAGACTGGACTTAGGTATCCTAGTCGATTCACAGAGAAAGAACATGCAGACAGGCCCCTTGCCCTCTTCTTCCAAGCACTACTCTCAGGGGTTATGATTCCAGAAGCAACAGTAAATAACAACATTTCCTGGATTGCCTTAGAGAATACTCACATCATCTTCCTTGGTTCCTCCCCAGAAGTTGGTGCCTCCTGCGTAGCTGGGAATGTTGAGCACGGCGATTCCCTGGAGACTGGGCAAAGGGATGGGCCTCCCATCACACTACACAGAAAAGAAGACAACACTGCTCTCAGCACAGCAGGAGAGAGCCCTTCCTGCCAGAGCACATCCTCTAAGAACAGAAATCAGCCTGCACAGCTTAGTAATAAATTAATTCAGATTTCTTCCAGTTTACTCTTGACCTAATGGAGTAGAACATCTCAATTCACATCTCATGAACCACCTCTCCTCTGGCAGAGGGAGGTTTTAGTTGATATGTTGCATCTTTTCCCCAAACACGGAACAGGGCACACCTGACAGGCTTGACAAAACCTCCTGGTTTATTCTTCCAAAAGGGGGAATAAAACTTCTGAAATCCCTGTGCAGTTTGCTGTGATGAGGTTTCCTCTGCAGACTACCTGTTTATGTTATATGTCTCTCAAATAAGATTTCTTTTCCAGTTTGATGCACATTATAGTGTAGCTAAATTAAGAGCTTTCTACTGCACCTACTAGCTAAAATGTTGTGTTCATAGGAGATACCACATAGAAGATGACAACCTTATCCATGCCAAATACTGAGCTGGGGACAGCTAATCCTTTCCAGCAGGATGACACTTCCTTTACAGGCTGAGAATACAAGTTATCTTCCAGAACAAGGAAAAGCCACTTTTCTCTAGCTCAGGGTGAGGTACAGCAAGTACATTCTATCAGGCAGGGAAGAGAAACACCCTCATGTCACCAAGTGGCACCGCCGTGCCAAAGGCTAAGTGTCTGAAGGGGATGCAATCAGGCATCCCAGTTTTAGCAACAGAGGGACGTGCTAATTCCTCACCTCCAGCAAGACCTTCTGCTCCAGGTTTTTATATGTTCTGTGTAGCAGCTCCTTGGTCCCCAGTACTCCGTACCACATCATGTTTTTAGTACGACTTCTAAAGGGGCAAATCAAAAGAGAAAAGTTAACATAAGCATTTACCTTTTTACTTAGAGGGGAAAACAACACCACATTGAAACGGTATCTCCTGAAACACAAAGGTGCTTTGCTTCCAAAAGGGTCAAGCACTCAAAATTGCTTATGTTAGGAAACTCCTCTTTAAATAAATGTCAGGTAGGAATTGAGGATGACCAAGTAACACATATTACCAGAAACACACAGATTCCCCTGGCACAGGACTTGTCAATCTTGTATCCCAGGACATGAACAGAGTTTTGCAGTATTAGCTCAAGTACAGCAAATGTACCAGTCCCAGGTGACACAGAGCACCCTGTAGTTGCCCAGGTATGCAGAAGGACAAAACCTGTGGTTTGTATTAAGTTAGGATCAAGGCTGAAATCAGCCTCCGTGGCATTTAGAGCTGAGAGGAGATTCTCTCACAGCTTAACAGCAAGTCCAGGAGAAAAATCTGTGAGTGAGATCATGAAGTAAACAGAACCAATGCACTAAATCCACATTGATGTCGCTACTTAAAGATCTCATACTAGCCACAACAGTGTAACGAATCAGTAATAAACTGGTAGCTAATCTCCTCCATCATGACTTCAAGCCTTGAAGGAGGATTATGCAGACAAAATTGACAATATACCTTTCAGCACATTTGTACACAATCGGTTTCCAAACCTCACAGAAACACAAAGTGGAAATTCAGTCACTTCTGGCAGTGGCCAAAGGCCAGCTAGCTACTTAAAGATCTCATACTAGCCACAACAGTGTAACGAATCAGTAATAAACTGGTAGCTAATCTCCTCCATCATGACTTCAAGCCTTGAAGGAGGATTATGCAGACAAAATTGACAATATACCTTTCAGCACATTTGTACACAATCGGTTTCCAAACCTCACAGAAACACAAAGTGGAAATTCAGTCACTTCTGGCAGTGGCCAAAGGCCAGCCAAAGCCATACCCACCTGCATTTCTCTGGGTGCTCATCACGTTTGTTGTTGAAGTCCAAAGAAATCTTTGCATCCAGTCCAATTCCAAAGTAATTATTCATAACACACTTCTCTGTGTAACATTCACTGCCAAAGAAAAGAAAAGTCCCATTTGATGTACATTTCACACGCTCCCTCTGACCACCTCATACTCTGTGTAACATTCACTGCCAAAGAAAAGATGAGAACTCCCATTTGATGTACATTTCACACACTCCCTCTGACCACCTCATCATTCCATTGCATAAAAAGGTGAGGAACAAAAAGGCTGTATGTCAATTTGCACTCTGGGAACTGCCCAAAACCCACAAGGAATACCAGAAAAGGTGAGGAACAAAAAGGCTGTATGTCAGTTTGCTCTGATAAGCACTCTGGGAACTGCCTAAAACCTACGAGGAATACCCTAAAAGTGGCTACTGAGCAAAGGTTCCTGGCCTGCAGCCTCTGTCCATGAGACTTCACAGCCACAAGACTTGCAAAGGAATTTTCCCCTTGCCACAGGAACATACTTCAAAGTCTACACTTCATTTACAAAAGGTATGTTGCTGGTGACTGGCATTGTGTAAAAGGTCTCACAAAATGTCAGCCACGCTAATTGCTTTTATATATATTTATATATGTACATTAGGTGTTGCCTACAGAGAGCTGAAAGAGTCAGCTACTCATCTCAGGGGCATCAAACCCCATGAAAAAGCCTCGAAGTCTGTATCATTGCATTTTTACTGTTAAACAGTTTCGCAGAAACAGCCTGAGAAAGTCTTCACATCCCATTTCCCAGCTGCCTCCCATGACCTCGCTCAGGCCCCCATGCTGTCAGGGTAGTGATTCCTCCACAGGTTGCTGTGGAGGGAGTCATCTCTGAGCGTGGTGAGAAGACTGATCCAGATTTCCTTCTCACCTAAAACCTAAAAATCTTCTACCATGCCTCAGATGTGTCACTGCATGTCTAACTACCTAAGCTGATCCTCACTGGCACCCAGCATATGAATTCATTTGCGCTCTGGGCTGCGGCTGCAGATCATTATTTAGTTCTAGAAACTAATTGCTTCTCTGCTGAGGCCCATTTGGAGATGCCCACTCCCTCCCTTCAACCTCCTGGGCACACTCACAGATTTTCAGGCTCAGAGTTAAAGGGATCAGCGTGGATCAACAATCGGCTGATGACAGAGCTCCCAGGCAAAGAACCAGACATGCCAGCACGGATATCTGCAGGGAAATTGACCACAGGGAAGAGGGTGATTAATAATAAGCAGAAAACAGGTAACTTCAATCTCAGAATCAAGACAACGGGGCCGAATATATTAACTCCTGCCATTCACTATGGAAACCAAATACCCAGAGTGATTTCTCCCACTCCAGAAGGCTTAGCTCTCTCGATAAGGAGAAGGGTTTCTGGGGCTGCCTGCAGGGTTTCTGATTGACAGGGTATCACCTAAGGCCAGCAGCACAGTTGTACAGACAGGTGGAAATTGGAAATAGGAGTGTATTCACTGCAGTAGCTTTTTTGTTGCAGGGTGAGACGTGCAACATCCTCGCTTCAATAAGTAGACAGAGTAGGACTGAAGTTATTCTCCAAGTTGCTCCAGAATTACTGCCTCCTGCTGCTTAAATTATTAGCTGGCAACTCACAAACAGTAGCTTTGTCAGAGAGAAAAGAAATTACCCACTTCCAGAAGAAGCAATTTGAACAAGTAATTTGGGGGAAGAGGTGGAAGGACAGCACCACGACGATGGGGAGAAGCTGCTACATAAGATGCAGGAGGTGGGAATTCTGCTGGGTCTGTGCACCTCCACTGACAACACCCTTCCCATGAATGGGCTCCTGCTCCCAGTCTGTGGATGCCACTCTTCAGAAACCTCTCTCAGCAGCACCCTATCAGCCTTCTCAAGGTGTCTCTGAGCTCAGTATCTCCTTGTAATTGGCATCTAAATTCTACCACTGCACAACGTTAATAAAAATGCATGTCTAGGTCTCAGCTACCAACTGGAAACTCCTACACCTCCCTCCAGGTCTCCACTTTTCAGTTACCCACAAAGGGACTTCTCTCCAAGCAGACCCTGCACTAAAGGACATCAGGGAGGACAATTTCATGTTTTCAGACAGGGACTGCAGCCTGCACTGCTGGCACCCACGCTCCAGTTGGCTGCCTCAGTGGGAAGTGGTAGGTGTTACACTTACTTGGGTAGAGGATTTTTGTGTTCAGCATTGGCAAGTTGTCCCGGTTTCCTGTCTGGGGAGGAAGAGATGCAGAGCTGCCCAGTGACAAACTTCCTTTGTTTATTAGTCTTTCACAAGGAGACTTGGAGGCTGTAAAACACAACACAAACATGGCTATTGACAAACATAACGCTGCGATTCAGAGCAGCGCGCGGCAGCACAGCCCAAGCAGCAAGGCTGGGGTTAGGAATCACTCAACAGCAAAACACTCTAACCACCATAAAACAAAGAGTTGACAGAACCAGTCATTAAGAGACAGAGATGAGGCATACGCGCAGCCAGAAAACCTCACAGATTGGAGGTACCAAAATGCCACATGCAAATATAAATGGAGATGAGAAAAAGCTGGTGCCAGCAGCACAACAGACAGGGTATCTGGCTCCCAATCAATACTCAGATCTAAGTTCCAAATATATTTGCAGTGATCAGGGATCTCTAACGAGTTATTCACATCACACAGTTATTAAAGCAAACTGGCTTCCGTTCTCTGTCACCTGCAAAGGATGGCAGGGGCTTGCAGGGAAATGTCATCAGGTAAATGACACAAAAAATGCTCAAGACCATCCTTGTCCAAGCACTGAAAGCCAAGAGAGCCCAGATTACTGGCTAAGGCAAGACAATTTCTGACTCCTAGGCTCCATATGCTAAGATCACGGAGCAGAGATGTAGCAAAAAGCAGGGTGTACGATGTGCAGGCTAGAGCATAGAAAAGTGCAAGGGCTGGCATCTGAAGAGCAATCATTCAAAAATGAGAGAAAAAACAGAACTTGGAAGGTAATAGACATAACACCTCCCTCACTTTTTACACTAAAGGAATTGTAATTTGCAGTCAAGATCTATATGGTGGTAGCCCTGGAGCAGTACCTTTCCGCTGGCTCCTCCCTTTGGACACTCCATAGCTGCTGCTGTGAGATGACTGCAGGGAGATTTTATCCTTGTTCCTCAGCTCCTTGCCCTCTTCAGAGGCTGAGAGACTAAGGAGGAAGCCCTCTTGCTCCTGGGTCTGGGCGTTCTGCTCATCTACAGCTGTAAGGAGAGAGAAAGTAGGCGAGTGCCTCACAGCTCTTCCAGCAAGGAACACCTCCCACTGATGTAAATAACAACAGGATGGGACTCTAAAAGCCTTGATTCCTTAAACAAAAGAACAGGAATAATAAAAAGCTTTCCTCTATCATTTGTCTCAACTAAGCTCTGCTCTGGAGAGCTTTTGGAACTGGGCTGGTTTAGCCTTCTGTTTTCTTTGCTGAGCTCTTTAGCAGTGAGGCTCTAAATAGAAGTGTCCACCTTTAATGCTGCAGGTACTCAGCTTTCCTGAGGTGTAAAGTGTGCTACAGGTGATGGGCTTCCATTTATTTGCATTTAGGTGTTACCAGAAATTCTAACTGGATGGACATTAAGTGACAAATTTAATGAATTTTCTGTTTGCCTAATCTGTACTGAGGCGACAGGACAAGCCACTTGAAAAGGACAATTAGACACATATAATAAGGAGAAAGGAAAGAGCAGTTGGTATAAAACAATACAAACACAGGGAAGAATCAGATTACATACTTTGGAAGAAGAAAAACAGTTTGGAGAAGTTGAACAAATACATCTGAAACATTAACTGGAGTTTACCCAAAAGCTGGTAAGAATTAAATGCTAGCATGTTGTCTAAAGAAATCAAAACTTCCTTTGGGTGTAATCAATAGGCCTTCCTCCCCAGCAACTCCTCACGGGGCACAGCTCTGTGAACAGCCCTGAGCTCATCTCCCAGCTCACTGTCCCCGCAGGGGGACAAGCCCCCCGTCTTTCACTCTCTTCCCCTGCCTTGTGCTGACTCTGGAGCTCATCAGAACTACCCACAAGCCAACCCAAGCCACCAGCCCAGCAGAAATAGAAACTCTTCTTGCTGGATTAAGCAAATTGGTTGGGCTCCAAAAGAACCCCAACAAACATCAAAGTGGCAAAGGTAAGCAGCAGCAAAACAGGGCAGCAACAAGGTAAAGACCTCTGCTTCACCAGAAGCAGGCTGTTTGCTCAGCTTCCATCATCTCATATAACTTTGCCTTCGGGATAGGTTGTATCCAAATATTGCAGTGCTGGAAATCCAAACACCATTGCAATGATCCGTAACTGACTACACGGTTGTTCCAAGCGCACATTTACGTGTGCATGGATGCCACATCTGCAACTTCAATGCTTTTATCTCCAGCAATAAGCTGTTAAGTACTTCCTTTGGTCTAAGTTGAACCGCTGAGTTTATGACTAACATCTGGGGGACTGACGCCTTTCAAAGGAAATGAAACTTTGAGCTATGGGTTTGAGTGGCTGGAGAGAGATAAGGGTCAAGATGTGGAGAAGAGGGTCACCTGCCTAGGAAGTCACAGCGGAACAGAATGGCTCTGCATCAAGGTGCAGTATTATAACATTTTCCCAGCAACAAACTAGTTTCAGAAGTTCCTCCCCTCTCTTGGAGTTGTACCGCTGCAATGTTTTGCTGGGCTGCACTATAAAGAGATTTCTGAAACAATCCAAGTCAAAAATACTTAAAATACTTTCTTCCCAAGTATTTTCAGTTCTGTTTTACAGCAAGGCCACACAAACAGTTGCGCTGACACAATTGTGGTATGGGTGGGGACAGACAGGAAACGCAAATGAAGAGAGTGTGGGAGGGTAGCAACTTCCTAAACCAGCCCTATGGGAGAGAACATACCTTCAACTTCAGGCTCATCTACCAAGCAATGAATGTTTCAAACAGGTGGGCCTGGCAGAAATGACACCAAAACTAAACAGCCAGGCTTACTGAATAGCTTCTCTAGCTCAGGAAAGCTGCTTTTAATAAAGAACCCTACTCCCCTCTGGAACAAAGGAAATTTATACTTCTCAAGAGCCTGTAACAAGTCACAGGCAGGACTCCTAACAGGTTACCTTTTTCTGCGTGCTCTATTATCTGACGAATGGCTTTTTTCAAGCTGTTGGCTCTCAACATGAGCTGTTCTCGGGGGCGAAATATCTGGGGCCGCGCAGTACACGACGAGCCCACCGACCGGTCACTCGAAGAGTCACAAGCACTGCCTGACCCATCACCGTCTTCGGTTTCCTCTGCGATGGTGGGAGGAGGGTTTGGCAGAGACGAAGATGCTTGAGATTCATCATTCAGTGTCTTCAGCAATGAGTCCAGCTTCTCCTTCAAGACAGAGCACTACAAGGCGAAGAAGAACACGAGAGTAGAATGGCAGAGTCAGTAGCTCATTTTTCTAGTGCTTGAGGAACTGCTGCTGTCCTAGTTCTCTGAAAATAGAGCAGTTTTGCACTTCAGAATTATAAACCCAAACAATTTTTCCAGTTTTACCTTCCTGGCCATGACCTCCGATTCCTCTGAGCTTTCTGTTGCTTTCTCATAGGCTTTGCCTACTCGAGCCACAAAATCCTTCACAGTCTCACAAAGCACCCTAGACAAAGAAGGTAATGAAAACAGTCATGCAAAGATCATCTCAGGACCTTCATGGTGCAACTTTCACTTAGAGCAATTGACCTCCAAGTACTCACTTGGCTGAGGAGATGACCACTGAGTGTTGGTCAGAAGTCAAAATTTTGGACAAATGAGCAGCCACAGAGTCTTCATAGAAGAGAATCTTCTGCACCTGGTGACAGTCAGAAACAAGCCACTGGGTTGCTGCTTCCCAATATTACAACAGGCGCTGTGTAGCCCTGGCTCCCCAGAGAGTACCTATCATTCTGCAGGTTGGTTTTGTCTTGGAAAAGTTCTATGGCCCAGAGCTCCATTACCCACTGAAGATCTGAATCAGATGAACAAACTAATTCTGAACCTAGAAATCATCAGCAGTGCAGTTCTTAGAGTCTCTGATGGATCTAAAATTGGGTTTTTACAGTTCTTACAATTTCAAGAACATGATGTCATGACAGCAGTTAAAGCCAACCATTTCCTTTCTGTCCTGTTCCAAAGCATTTTCCTCCCATTCACTATTATGCTTGTTGACTCTGGTAACCCAAACTCCATCCTTCTCCATAGCACTTCATTGACCTAAAGACCCAGGATCTTTGTAGCTCCTGCTTCACCCAAGTCATAGCTCATCCCTGCTCCATTTGAACTCTACCACTGCCTCCTGTCTCGCCTGTTCTGAGGCCACTGCTCCAGTCCCCCACCCTCTGCATCTCATGAGGTACCTCAGAATCCTCACTGAAATCTTCAGTGACTGTGGAAGTGGAAGCCTGGCGAGGGAGTTTGGTTTCATACACCATGATGCTCCACCTGTGGAAAAGGAGACATCATAGCTATCACCACAAGGCAGATGATTTCCTCCTCCATCCTGACATAAGAGGTTAGACCCTCAAGTAGAACAAACTGCACTTTGGCAGGGGCATGACTGATGTAAGGAAGCCATAGGGTTGCAGTGGAACTACAGAGGAGCTGAAGTTGGGGAAGAGGAAGGACTGACACTATGACCAAGTATCCTACAGCACAAGGACCTTCTCTGTACTTCCCTCTCTCACAGAAATTCTATGGGCATTACTCGATTCAACCCAAGAGATGCCAAGATGCAATTCTAAAGACAAGAAGCATTTTTAAATGTATAAAGATGTACAGGCGATACCAATATTAGGGGTAAAGATGTCCATTTCTGCGTTCAGCTTTCATTCTGTGCCAAACTCAAGATAAACTGGTTCAAATTTACCAAGAAAAAATTAGCTTAAAAAAAATAAATCATGACTGTAAGGCTGTCAAATTCAATTGACGAGAACTCTGGAACACAAGAGAGGGCAGTGGACATCAGACAATTTCACTCATTACTGTTCTCCAGCAATGACACAGAAAGCCAGACTACCCTTTGTTGCTAAAGGGTGATGAAGGATTATCAAAGCAAAAACGTTAAGTGGCATCAGTAAGAAGTCCAGCAGCTGGGTAGAATCAAGAACTGCACAGTTTTCCTAGAAGGGTATTTTCACACAACATTTGAGCAGGGGAGGATGTTAGTGATGGTTACTCACCTGTCCAACATTTTGGTACTGGCCCTCTCCAGCTTTTCCAGGATCTGTGGGAGCTGGGTATCATCATCACAAGCAGAGCCCCAGCCTAACACGCGGGCAAGGTCATTCCCTGTGCCCAAGGGCAGGACTCCCAACTGGCACTGCATCCGAGAAAAGGAAATCAAAACTGATATTCAAATGGAAAAACACAAGCCACAAACAGCCACAAGTAACACGACTGATTCCTTACACAGAGCAGTCAGCGAGGAACAGCCAGACCCAGGGGGAGGAGAAAGTAATTGGGTGGACAAAACGGCCAGAAGAGCATGCAAGCAAGTAAAAATTTCCTCTGCTTTGAACTTGTTAATTGGGAGAGGAGTATAATACAGCTACCATCGCAAGGAGCACCTCGCTGAAGGTAACCCCTTCTACAGATGTATTTATTTAACCATCAGGTGGTGCTATTGCTTTTTCTGTAAAAGTAGCACAGACATCTCCAAGACAAAATGGGAACGGATTAAACACCGCACGATACCTCTATTCCAAAGAGGTTCCTGTTTATCCCAGGGCTCAGAAACACCCCCACAAGAATTAAAGGGAATAGATGAGGAGCACTATCCTTGTAGACCCCCAGTTTTCTAACTGCAGCCCTTTTTGAGCAGAAGTCTCTGCTGGCAATGGAGCAGGAGTAACTCAGAGCTACTCCAAAAGCAGGATCTTGTCAGAGGGAGTTGTGGGGGCAGCAACAGAGATAAGAATAATGAATTAGCCCAGTGCTGCTTCTTGCAGAAAACTACTGCAAGAACACTGCTGTGGTAAGCTACGTGTGGCTTCAGTCCTGGGGAAAACTACATCTGTACGATCCAAGAAAGTCTTTTCAACCCATGCTATCGTTATTCTTTCATCCAACCAAGTTTTGGCTTCAGTCCTGGGGAAAACTACATCTGTATGATCAAAGAAAGTCCTCTTCAACCCATGCTATTGTTATTCCTTCATTCTTTCATCCAACCAAGTTTGTTGGGCACGTACTTGCTTGTGAAGATTGAGGCTATCAATTTCGGAGAGAACCCAGCCGACGCTTCCGTCCCCACCGCAAACTAGAATCCGGAAAGTGTCAAATTTCTGGAATAAGCGTAAACTACAGAGAAGGGAAAGATAGAAAAAAGCAAGAGAGAAAACCAATCAGCTGTTACAGAAAGAAATGATAACCAATTCCAGTCTAGGTAAAAAACATGGCAGATTTGTTTAAAGTAGGCTCTAATTTTGCAATGAATATGAGCCACTGTCACTTTACGGATGAATTTAAATGCTTATAAATAAGGAATTATAAATACAGCTAAGCAATTTACAATATCTGTTCACTACAGAAATATGTCCCAGACCTCCTCCTCTACTAAAGCAGGGCACTTTTGTCTGAACAGAAGAGGAAACAAGCATGTGATAGCTCATTATCCATTGAATTAATTCCTTTTTGCAGCTTTGCTGCGTTCAGCCTAACACTAGTTATTTGTCACTGTTTGGAGTGCTCTGATGTCACTGCCTTCGCACTCAAGGCCGCACCAATTAGCGCAAAGCTCGAAGAGTGGGAACTTTATGCAGTCATTCATTAGGCAGACAAATGTAAAGCCCCCACAAGCTTTAGTTCTTCTGGGAAGGCAACATAAATCAGTGCTCTGGCGCCCTGTCTGTCCTGCAGGCAGGCAAACAACTTACCAGCAAGACAAGTGTGAATTTCTCTATTCACCCTTTTGAGAATATTAAAAACAACCTCTCCTCAAGCTGTTTGTGCTTCTTACTGAACATTTTCCAGAATTACTGCCTGCTTTTATTTTGCTGTTGTATTTTTTATTATTATTATAACCTAAACAGGATTTACTGTGGTACATGTAAATCCGTATTTCTTCAAGCCTGGTTGACACATGAAAAATGTCATCTTACCATACAGTTTGACTGGCACCAATTGAGAATATTTAAATTATTAAGAAGCAGCCTTTACCCTGTACCACCATTTTCTTTTTAAGCAAACAAACAAGAGCAGATCATTTGGAAGTGTGCACCACAGCCTGAGAAAATAACTGATTCCTTCCCTTCCCTTCTCTCCTCCTTAAAAGCACAATTCCTCTCTACGGTCAGTCCAACTTGGGAGGGGAAGAAGAAAACTATTTAATTATAGAAGTTTTCTATAAATTATTTATCAGGCAAACACATCCCCTGGACAGCATGCTGCAGTTTTAAAGGCCAGTGTTTTACAACGACTATGGCAAGAAACCACAAGAGTTCTGAGGAAAGCAGACCCCAATGGTCACTCACCCAGGAGTGGACAGTCCCAGATTTAGCACCCTGCATCTACAGGTCTCAGGCACAGACTTTGAGTCACACTTAGAAAAATATGAATGAAATTCACCTTGTCTTGGCTCTTGTTATAAGAAGCACCCATTCATGACAAAAGTTACTCAAATCCAATGCAGCAGAAAAACATTTGGAGGGAGCAAACTAGCGACCAATTTATTAATTTTTTTTAAACAGAATTGCAGTAATACACTAATGGAATTTATTCCGCAGTGCTCATTTTTTTTAAATCCATAGATATTCTAGTGTAATCTGGTAAAAAAGCCCGAAATACCATCCAGATCCCAGGGCTTTACCAAATGCATTCGTGAGAGATGTTTTCCCAGTATCAACATAAAATCTTCAAGGGATGGAAATTTCACATACTTCCCAGGTAAGTTATTTCTGAATAAACCTAATTTTGACAATATTAATTTGCCATCTATGACATTTGCCTGTTCACCCTCTTTAACTCAAGTTTACTCTCATTACCAGTACATCAGGATGCCTGTTACAAGTCTGTTTGGTGACAAGCTTTCCTCTGAATTCAAGCTTTCCATGCTTGATTATCTTCCAGGGGAGTGTTTCTGGAATTCCCCCCAAGCCCTTCAAGCTGTCCTGCTGTTACTGATGAATGGAAATAATAACTTTTTTCAACAACATTCTTGGGTTTAGCTAATCAATAACACTAAACACAGAGAGGAGAAAACGCCTCCAAACTTCATATGCGTTCAGTCTTCTCTGAGGAATAGGTTCCTTGTTAAATTTGAAGATGAGCTTATAATCAAATAAATCACTCGTACTTTTCTGGCATTTACAAGGAATTTGTGCTTCCACAGAATATCTGCTTACCCAAGGTGAGGTCCTCCATTCATGAGGTCAAAGACCTGGGCTGGATTCAGCAGCTGTTTGAATCTTCGGAGGAATTTGACACCTTGGTTGTCTCCGCTTTTTGAGTTGACAAAGACCAACAAAGGGCTTGTGCAAGAAGGGGGACAAGTAGCTTTCCAGAAACCTGTCAGAGAAAAGGGAAGGGAAAGGGAGGAAAAGCCAAGAAATGTGAAGCTGCCCATGGAGATGGAGTGAGAAAAAAAAGCAACACCCCACACCCCAGCACAGCTATGAAGAAGCTAATACTTTCCTTGTGCTTATGGCACTCACTGGGTAAACGCCAAATGCGCACAGACTTGAATCCAGCACGAACCACACCTCGTGCTGCCAAATGTCACACTTATCTCCCAGCAGTATGCCAAAATACTCAGCTTCCCCAACCTTCCCAAACTGCTTCTGCAATATAGTTGTTCTCAATAAATTTTAACAGCTGCAGCTCAGCAAATACTGACGTTCCAGGGTAACAAACCGAATGCAAAAGAAAAGCAAACAGTTCTCTGCCACACTGCAGTGGTACCTTCCAGTTTGGAACTTCAGCAAGATCAAAAAGCAGACTTTTCAGTTGACAGAGCCTGGCATTAATAGTGTTAGGTGAAGGGACTGTACCTGAGAGGAAGAAAAAGAAGGCGCTACTTACCATCTGAATCGATGCTGTTAAGAGCAGTAGGAGGAATGACAGACACTTTGCACAGCCCAAGAGGGCACTTGTTTGGCAACAACTCCTTACATGCTGTGTGTACCTGAAAACACCAACAAAAAACATTCATTCAGACTCTCTTGGGCACTGTGGTGTCACTCATAAAGCCACCCAACAAGAGGTTCTAACAGAAGAGTACAAAAGGAAGAGGGGGAGATGTAAATAGATGAGGTTATTCTAAGAACGATCTCATCAGAGTCTTCTTCTAATTCTCCTCTTTCCATTGGTATGTACTTTTTCTGCCATTTGAATTTATAAGACTAGCACTTTGAGTGCTGAGGGGACCAGGTAATAGATTATGTGGCTTTAAGAGCCTTCAAGAGTTCAGCTTTCAAAATTCTAGGCTCAGTTGATAGATCAAAAGTAGCAACAAAAGAAAAAGCTTGGAATTCAAGAAAACAAGAAAGCAAAAAACAAAGCAGAAAGACATGAGGGACATAGGAGGTAACAGAGGGAGGGATTAATAAAGCCACCCAAAAAAAGAAAAAAACAAAGTAGAGCAGGGCACTTCAGTCATTTCTGGTACACGAAGACTGCAAGACAGAGACTTTTTTGGGGTTTGAGCCCACATCACACATTAAAAACATATATTTTGTGGTACTTCTTTCATTATCTTATAGACAACTGGAAACAGGGAGATCTGCATCACTGCAGCGGTGAGGCAAGAGAAATCTATTGCAATGGGAAGGGAAATTGTTATTATTAAAATAGCTTTCTATTCTTTATCATCTTATTTTGTTGTAGCTTTTCAACTTGCAGAAATGACAAATAATAGCTCCTTAAAATCCTCCATCTCCCATGCCTGAGGCATTTATTCATATCTAATGTAACTAGATTCTTCTATGAAAGCTCACTATCAAAAGAAAATGAGCTTGCAGAGAAGTCAGATTTTAGGTCTTTTATTCATCACAGTGATATTTTTCAGCATAAATTTAAATTTCTGTCTCTCGCAGGCTGTTTATCATCTGGAGAAAGAATAATAGAGTCCTACATGGGAAATACCAACAGCACGGTTAGAGATTTCGTTTTAAGTAAATGTCATTAAAAGAACACACCAAAGAGATGACCAGAAACTAACCTTTCACTGAAATGGTCACGTTTATTCAACTCACCATGGCTTTGCACCAGAGGCAGCGCCAGTCTTGCAAACGTAGGACACTGCCACAGGTTTTATCACACACAGTGCATTTGGCACTCACGGGCAGGTTGCCTTCCAACCACTGATGTGGCATCGAGATCTGCAAATGGTACAGAGGGAGAGAAGCAACATGGACTTTCCAGACCACAACTCAAGAGTGCAGAATGCACTCTGGAGGCAAGTCTTTATATGCATCATTTAAGGACAGCAAAGGCAATTTCCAGAAAACATCCAAGGACCTCTTTTGGCATTTTATATCACACTCAAGCACAAAGAGACAGGGTGACTTGCCCCAGGGAAACATTGACTTGCTTCAGACATCTCATATGCTAAGGTACTGTTCCAGCCACTCATTTGGGGTTTTTTTTTGCCAAAACTCAGACCAGGTTCCCCACGCCTCCAATTATTTAACCTCAACTCCCCCGGGTCCATAGCAGGAGTCTCTTCCTGTTAAGGAGTCCTTGCTACGCTGGTTGGACTTTCCACACGGAATCTCATGCTCTGACAGGAAAGGCCTTTCCCACATCGCTGACACATAAAGGCAGAATCTGCTCTTTGTGCAGTGAGGAAAGCTGTAGAGGACCTGCCTCCACATCAAGATAAGGCCAGAAGAGTTAAGACTGACACCTACCCCATCTTCATCCTCAATGATATCCTTCCCAATGGAGGCCAGAGTTGTCCACTTGCAATTATTGGTTGCCCGCACAGCACACCGCTTGTGGGCTTTAAACTTGCACACTACAGAGGAAGAGAAGAAGATATAAATCCTGCCTCAGAAGGTATAATATGGCAGTCTGTACAAAAAACTTTCTCAAGTGACCATATTTGGCTCCAGAAGAAAGCCCAAGCACACACTACCCTCGTTAGCACTGCCAAAACTATCAGTTCTAAGTATACTGAGTAAGATGAGCGAGCTATTAATTCCTGCCTTGTCACTTTTGCCAGTTGCTTGTACAAAGCTTAGTTATCACCTTGTTAAATTTGACATGATTTACATAGTCATACACTCCTGCATCCTTTTACACAATGTGGGTGTAACCTCACTCATGCTAGAAGTATGAGCAGCCAGGCATGTCTGCCACGCCAAAGCTGAAGAAGAATAACCTCCTGGCATTCCAACACTTCACCAGGATGTTCTTACAAATCTGATTATGTTTATGAACAGGAGTGTTCTTATGAATATTCTATCTGATAACTCAGAAGTATGTATCTGCTCGCTTCAGAAGCATGAGTTTAATAAGAGATGGCAGTATTTGGGTATATGGAGAAAAAAAATCAGCTATATTACCATTGGGTCCAACAGTAAAACCAGCATGAAAACATCATCACATCTATCACCCTGTTACAAAATGCCAAGATCCTGATATTGACTTCGGCAGGAAAATTCTCTGTGAAGCCAAAGGGATTCAGCAGCAAAGGCTTTCAGCATCAGGTCCAGAAAAGACCTCCAGTCTCATACACAGCCGAGAGCTCTCTCGAGTTTATTAAGCAGCATTTTTCAGACTATTAACAACATTCCTCTTAAATTATCTCTGGAACATAGCTATATGTTGAGCTATAAAGATGATGCTCCCAAAACAGAAGAGAAGAGCACGCTTACCTTCACATGAGAGCCCATGTGACGTGACTCCAGATAGTGCCTCCCGACACACGTTGCAGTACGTTGGCCGAGCGTGTGAGCAGGCGTACCAGTTATGCATCCCTGAGAAATGGTCCATGCTGTACTGGGTAGACTAATAAAATAAATGTATTACAGCATTTTATTATTATTATATTATTATTAAGTCTGAAGTAGAGCAAGGAGACTCTTTTTTTTTTTTTTTCTTAAAACAAAAACTTGCATATAGCAGTCAGGAAAGGCAGAAACTGAACACTTAGACTAGAGAAGAGCAGGCCACGTGCAGTTTATACACACTAGCTGTAACTCAGGAAGGTCTTTAAGCCAGAAGAGAGTACTTGAAGAAGGAGCCACACCTTCATTCCTGCTCCTGTCCTACCTCCCATCCTTGTCTCACTACAAGTATGTGTGGAGAAATGAACTGGAGAATTTATCTGCTGGAGAGCTGATCTTTCCCTTCCCCATTTTTTGGTTGGATAAAGTTTTCAACAAGATCAGTTCCCCAACCTTGTTTATTGCACAGCAGAGGAATTCTTGTGCCAGCAAAAGGGAGGAGACAATAGGGAGAGAAGCATCATGGTGGGGGGGGAACACAAGACAGCTTCTTTTGGTGGCAGCACTGGTCTAACTACAGCCCCAGAAAGCAAATAGATGCACTGAAATAGGCAGAATACCAAGCAGGCAAGATGTGAATTAGGACAGGGAGGACAACCAAAGAGTGAAAAGACAATGGGAAGAGAACTGTGTTTCATAACCCACCAATACTCTGAAAAGTGCTCTCAAAGTTACCAGGGGAGAGCACACAAAGCCACAAGCATTCTTTGGAGAAACACCTCAGTGTATTTGGGATAGTTTTTACAGTAGGCCTAATGCTATACCCATTATAGTCATTAAAAACAAGTTCTATTAACTTCACTGGAAGCTGACTCCAAATTCAGACCAAGCTGTTAGTTAGGAGAGGAGGCACAGAGTGCAAAGGAACACATTTTCCTAGTACCTCAAAATGTTCACGGTTTTGTACAGTCTTCAGTGCTGCAATCCAATCTTCCATCTCTTTCCTGTTATCAGCACAAAGGATGAGCTTCCGGCATGGAGTGATAATCTGAGGAGCAAGAGAAAATTAATAGTGTGTATTCTGGGCACGTCAGTGAGAGACAGCAGGAGAACACGTTATCACTAGTGTAGTCTATTGGAATATTTTCAGAGGCAATGAGATGCACAGCAGAACAAAAGTTATGTGCACCTTTCAACCATGTTTCTCTTCCACAGCAACACACCTCGATTCCTTCATAAACGTAGAGAACCACAGAGATTTCAGCTGTCGTGCCCAATACTGAACTGAGTAAAGAAACCTCTCAGACCCAAATAACAGCACAATACAAATCAAGCACAGAGCAGTAAAAGTTAATATATTCCATATGCAGAACTTGCATAAGGTTTTTTAAAGTATTTTATGACTTTTAAAATTGGCAACAACATAAAAACATTTTGCTAACGCCATAATATACCAGTTTCTAGCAATTAATAAACATGCTCTGTAACATCATACTAAAAACCTGTTTAGGGTCATGACAAGCGGGGAGGGAGGAAAGGAGAAATCAAACAAAGTAAGCAATCTAGAAGAGAAAGCACTGTATTTTGAACCCTCGTGTTTCCCGAGGGCTTGTTCTGCATTTATTACATAAAAGATACTCCAACAAATGTTCCACTAGCAGCTCGACGTTGTGGTGAGTTTGCCTTCCTCTAAAAATATTCTCCTCAGTGTGTTTTTACCCTGGGCTAATTCCCATGCGTTAGTAGCTCTGCGTTAAATAAACAGCTCAGTGTTTTACCAAAACCAGTAGAAGACATTTGGGGTGGCCGTGGCTCCCCTCTGCCCGGGGAAGGCAGACGTCTGGGTGTCCCCTACCACCAACCAATCTCTCCCCTTTTGTCAGAGGGCGGCAGCAGAGAGAAATAAAAGCTCTTCAGAGGACCACGTCTGCTGTCCACAGGGCTGCCCGTTCAGCTGGCCTCCAGACTCGACCATAAATCAACATTTATTCTTCCTAAGACAAAAGCCTTTCTTCGCCGCGCTGCAGTTATCTCTTAGGAACACCGTCGCCCCGTGCACACCTCCGTGCTGATTTCCATCCAACTCACTTCTTAAATTGAACCAATACGGAAGCGTTTGCAAGATCTGGGTTGAAGAAAAGCTGCAATAACGTTGAGCACCATTAACAAAAAATCAAAAGGCTCCTCTGAACCAATACGGAAGCGTTTGCAAGATCTGGGATGAAGAAAAGCTGCAATAATGTTGAGCACCATTAACAAAAAAATCAAAAGGCTCCTCTTTATGTCAACTCTAAAAATTTCCAGCAGCCCAGGCTCTCCTGCATCTCTCTCCCTCTACGTTCCGCACATGAAAAAAACCGGTCTTCATCATCTGCTTTTCCAGCAGATTGTACCCTAATATCTGAAATAACAGATTAAAACAAACTGGGATTGTGGCAGGTTGATGAAGCCCATGTGGCTCTCACGAGCACGCGAATGGTTCGTTAATGAACACTAAAAAAACCCACACACATCACCCCAATACGTGACCCCTCTTGACTACCATTTTCCAGTCCGTTTCTCGCTTTTCTCATTATGATTCATAGAACAGATTAAAAATAAAACCCTCTCAAGTTGAACACAAAACTTTTAACTGATATTGAAGCACATCAGAGCGTGCCCTAAGAAATGTGCATGTAATATCAATAAAAAAGATACACCTGCAGATTTCTGCTTTATTTTGAGCTCTTCAATTTTCAAAATATATTTATTTTCATAGGACAGACTGCAGCATTTCCCTGCGATAGCACTGGTTTCACCCAGAAGCTATATACCTATACCTAGAAAAGGGCACTATGGCCACATTAAGTAGGCAATGGAGTTAAATACCTTTTTAAAGCAGGGACTGGTCATTCATATTAGAAACAGAGTTTTGGCACGGAGCACTTTTATCTTGGACAAAACGACCTGATCTGTATCAATTGTAAGCAAACAGAAATAAATATTTACAATTTTCTAAAAATAAAACTTTGAGGAACTCCTTCCTTCTTCCCTGACTTTTCCTTTAAACAATTCCAGCTCTGATAAAATTTATTCCCAAAGAAGGTAATCACGGGAGTCTTTCTTTTTCCTTGGAAAGTGGAGAAGTGGGCGGTTAACTGTATTTCCATCAAAAACTCTGCTGTGTAGGGACAGCTACCCTAGAGAAACCTTTTACAGAGCGTGAAACACTACTGCAAAAATCAGCGTGACGTTGGAGAAGAAGGAGCAGCATCTCTGAAGTCCTGCTCAGAGGAAGCAGCTCTTTCCCTGGAAGTAAACCCAAGTTCAAATAATTTGTTCAGACAACACAGGGCCCCACTTTTTTTCTGGCAGCAAAGCCAAGAACATCTATAATTGCATATGTGCAACAGTACTCTATGTAAAGTCCAAACATCCCAGGATGAAGCATCCAAGGACCTTTCATCGCTTGAAAACCAGCCGGTTTTTATAAGGAACCGCCAGTTCCTTCAACAAGCCACTGGCACACTCTTGGCCAGTAGGGAAAAATAATTTAAAACAGTTGATAAAATTAATCTATTATCATCACGATCTCATACAGAACACTCCTAGTCAGTGTTGTCTCTTTTCCTATTTTTATCTCTTTTTTTGGAGGAAAAAAAGGCAAACACAAAGCGTATAGTATCATTTTCAAATCACCTTGGAAGACATGATATCTAAAATATTGTCATAAAATAAAGAAATGCTGACACTCATTTCATAAGAGTTAATCCTGGATAATTGAAGAGACTGTCCAATATAGAAAATCACTAATTCCTTCTGAAGTTACCTACTGCATCATCTTAAAAATCCCCACATTCAATATTGGGCCATCCTCTGTTCAAAGAACACAGAAAGTTTTTAAGACAAGAGGACAAATAAAGAGATGAAGAAGATTTTCATACTTGACTCATCCAGACAAAGAGTCACAGAATTCAAATAAAGGGTCTATTGTGTAACTACAAAACTCCAAATAAAACATAACTTTGTGCAAGATAAATTCATGAAGAGCATTCCCCATTAGTCAGTTCCAAAGCAACATTTGCACTGGGATTTAGTGGAATCATCACAGACGGGAAATAAAAGAATATAATTCAAACCTCACTCGTATTCTAAGGAGGACAAATTGGGACAATTCAGGCTTCCCTGTGAAGGGCAGATAAGATTCTAACATAACTTGTGTAACAATTCTTCGGGGAAATTAAGAAACCATACAAACCTGTTTTTCTGACTAACATGCAGCGGTGGTACAGTTAAACATTTTAATGAGGATAATTAAGAATCCAGAAACACATTAATAGGGACACTTCCTTCACAGAACAGTTCACCAGTTCTTGCCTTTCACACAGCCCCAGACACCCCCCAGCCAACCCCAGCTCCCTCGTGAGCACCAGACACTCCTGCTTTCCCTGGTCTCTCACCTCCACAGGCTGATGTGCAACAGGCAACCCCACAACATTGCTCCCGAGTAAGGGCAGAACTCAGATCAACAGGAACATGCTCTCACTAACAGAGACAAAAAAAAAAAAAATACTCCTACCACTTTTACCTCCTCCTACTTGAGCCAGTAATTTCTACTCCAGACATCCATCCAGCTGGTGAAGGCTACTACCGGAGGGAGAAAGGCTGTCTAGATGAGACCGATGATCAATCTAACGGGTCACATCAACAAAATAAAGCCTTCTCCTTGTGTCCAAAAGAAGTCACAGCAATCTTCCCCCCGAAAAGCTGTCCTTTTCCCAGCCAGGGAGTCCAGGCTGCTTGCTCTCAGCTACAGGGCTCTGGAGCACCAGGCTTGGTTATCCCTGTTGGCAAACCTGGCTACAAACGAGCGTGGTCCAGCTATTTTTTACGTTCCGGCTAGAGCTTTTGACTAACATCCTGGAACAGTATATTCCACAGGATGACGACGCACTAGGTGAAGTAGCATTTCCTTTTATTTGTTCTAAATTTACAAAGCAGTAATGTCATCCAGTGACCTCTTGTTCTCATATAAACGGCGAGCGCAAAAACAACGATCTGATGGCTTTTGAGGTAGGATGGGGGCTGCCTCGCTAGGAGTTAAAAAAAACCAAAAACAACAAACCCACAACAAAAAGTTTTAAGATTTATTTATAATCTCATACATTTTTGGCCTGTTTGGGGATTGGCAGAACTCTTGAGTGTTCCTGCCCTGAAACAGCTCAGAATTTTATCTAGATATGAGCAATTACGTAAATTAAAAGTGCTCGTTCTTCCTAAAAAGGGAATATTAAAAGCTGACATACTTTTTTGACCCTAAATGCTATTGAACTTTTGGGTGTGGTTCTTTAGATTTCACTCCTCAGTAGCAACTGGATGCCCAGATACTCACGTGTCCAGAGCTCACCACAAGGTAACTTTATTTAGACCTAAACTGATTGCCAAGAGCTCAACAACAGTCAGGGGGAAAAAAAAAATATGCTGCCAATCCCTCTAAATCAATCCCAAAGAGCCATAAGGATAGATGGGAATGGGAGGAAGGCTTAAAGACATTTCAAAGCAGGACCCAGCTTACTTTACAAACTCCTCGCTGAGTATGAAACCCAGAAATATCTTTTGTGGGAATTCTGGTGACAATCAACTACCCAGCAGGTCCCCCCCTTCGTGGGAATTCTGGTGACAATCAACTACCCACCAGGTCCCCCCCTTTGCAGACAGTTATGTGCCCTCTATGCACATCCCCTTTGCAGACAGTTATGTGCCCTCTATGCGGACAAGTCATCTCAAATCTATCAGAGAAATTCTCAATCTTCAAGCTTGCTCACTCTAAACCTAAAAAAAAATATCTAAATCTGAAAAAACCCACGCCTTCATTGGCCGTCTTGTGCAAATACTGATGGTCCCCTGACACTTCTCCAAAATTTAGCTTCATCTCCTCTGTCTCTACCTCACGGAGCACATGCCCTTTTACCAGCTGTTAACCCCCACCCCTCGTGTTGACCCCCGCTCCCCTGTCCAAAACTAACACCAGTTTACTGACATTTCAAATCAGGCCAGCTGGCAAACGACAGAGCCAACCAAAGAAAATTCCTCATTTCACATTCTAAAAATGGACTGGATGTCCCTGGATGTCCTTCCCCAATGAACAGCTGTGAATAATTGGATTAGAAAGGCAGCCCAAAAAAAGACTCCTTATATTAGACCAAATTTTAAATAGAAATCTGCTATACTTCACCCTTTGGTGTTTTGCTGTACTGAGCAACCTTCCTCCACCCAACAGCCGGAGCTTAAACTTCATTCTCTGGTCTTGCTGCCATCAAAGACAACTTTTATCATCTCTGCTCACTTCCTCTTTCAGCATTTTCTGGCTGCCCAGAAACTTCTCAGCAAAAAACTGACAGTCTGGCCAAAAATGCGTTGGGACTGTTTGCTATCACAGTAGATCTGGTGAGCTCAGTGACCACAAAAGATGGCAAAACAAGTTAAGATCACACTGGCCCAATCACGGAGCTGGCTGAAGAAATGCTGCAGGGCGAGACGGGGCGGGAGGGACACACAACTTTGCTAAATATAGCTTTTCTGATGTGATACATTTCTCGGAGTGGCCAAAAGCGGGTGCGTGAGAACACCTGCTCGGTCTGACTGCTTCCTTTTACTCACATCCTGTTCAAATATAGTCAAAGGTGCTAGCCATAAATCCCCCAAAGAGATGCCAGATTATTCCAAACAGTTGATGATTTGGGTACAGGGACAACTGGAATTTCTGGAGCTCAAAAGACTTAGGAACTGCAAGCAGAAAAAACAAAATAGCTGTGAGACCGGTGTTGGCGCAGGCAAAAACTTCAGCTCGATCACATATGGGAGGTGCTAGCCATAAATCCCCCAAAGAGATGCTGGATTATTCCAAACAGTCGATGATTTGGGTACAGGGACAACTGGAATTTCTGGAGCTCAAAAGACTTAGGAACTGCAAGCAGAAAAAACAAAATAGCTGTGAGAAAGGTGTTGGCGCAGGCAGACTTCAGCTTGATCACATATGAGCAAAGGTGGGGAAAATGTCCACTGTGTGTAGCTAATTGTTATGTCTGCTCTTATATATTGGAGTATATTGTATCCCATGAACCCAAAAACTCAGGAAGGAAAATCGGGTGAGATTATAATGAGGACTCAGCCTATTTTATCCACCTCAGCTCCTGTGCCAGCAGCGGTGGCAGTGAATTGAACACTGGTGTATGTTAAAACACCTCGCCTGGGTTCATCAGCAAGATTTATTGGAGTATATTGTATCCCATGAACCCAAAAACTCAGGAAGGAAAATCGGGTGAGATTATAATGAGGACTCAGCCTATTTTATCCACCTCAGCTCCTGTGCCAGCAGCAGTGGTAGTGAATTGAACACATTGGTATATGTTAAAACACCTCGCCTGAGTTCATCAGTGAGATTCAGGGACCAGCAAAGCCACGGTGTGTTTCAAGCACCTCTGCTGAACTGACAGATGGCAGCATGGACTGTTTGGATTAGGCAGTGCTACTCCCTCTGCAAACACACAAAGTTAAAAAGAAGACTGTCCAAAAGGAAGAAGAAAGGAAAATTAAAGTATGACTTTCAGGCTCAGCTCTTCACACTTAAAATTTTAAAAGCCTGTCTCATTGATGTTCTGAAGCAATTTGGAGCTGAGCATCAGGCCAGCAAAGCCTTAGACAGCAAGTCAGCATGACTTCAGTAGGTCTCTATAGATTGGAAGAGAGAAATAATATGAGTCCCAATGCTTAGACTCACGGGGGACCGAGGCTTGCCTTTCTCCATAGACAATACCCCTCTTTTGCCAACAAATTCAGCCCCGTTAACTCACTGCAGAGGTCAGTTAGAGCTCTTTAGAACTGCACTGATTCTCTTTATTAAAATCCTGGTTGTTACTCTGAAGGGCAAAGGAAAAAGCAGCTTTCCATATGACACTGGAGGAATGCACCAGTTTTGTATTTATTTTTACAGTGCAAGATCTTTATTTCCTGCTAAAAGGACTGTCTTCCACCTATGGAAACTCTCATTTCCACCGAATAAAACAAGTCGTTAATGTTCTTATAGTTATGCCAAATTCTGCCCTTTTTTTTTTTTTTTTTCTAAATAGCAATAACAAGATTTTCCTCAAAGCCCTAAGTGCCCAAATCCCTGTTTGCACTAGACTGGCTATTTTATCCCCAATTTCCACATGTCTGTTTTACCTTCATTTGCCATCTGTAAAATCCAGGATAGCTCATCTGCATCGAAAAATAGGTACAGCGCATGGCGTGGTCTCTTTAGGACCATTTTTATATTATTAAGTTCATTCATCTTGCAATATACACCTAATCTGGCAGGGGTTGAACACAACGAGTGCATCTTCTCTGGGCCCACAGATCAAGTTCAACTCCTGCTGACCCTCCATCTGCGCTTTCTCCCACTCCCTGTCTTCCCCGATGCTCCAGCGGGAAAGCAGACCAGACAGAGCGTTCCCTGGGAAAATTATCTTCTCTCATACCAGGGTCACATTCCTACATGCTTCTGGAAACTCTGTTCCTAAACAAGGCACATTCCTCTTTTTGGCAATTGGTAAGAGGAGCACAGACAAGGAGAGCGATTTTAGGATTTTTGCAACCAGTTAAGGGATGTCAAAACCTAAAGAAGGTCTTGGCCACTGTTAGCAGGTATAAATACAGTCCTGGTAATTCATGCATGTTAATCCCAAGAGATCTACAGGGATGGAGCAGCACCAAATGGGAAGGGACAGGGCTGCCATGCCAAGTGCCAGAGCATCTTAGCACAGCTCTGTTATCCACCCACCCTTCACTTCACGCAGCAGATGCACCTGCATCCCTTCTTCAGCTGTTTTCAAAAGGATGCAGTCCTGCCAGGAAAAGAGTTCCCAAAGAGAACTACCCTGTTCAGAAAGGGCAGCAGATTTGGGAAGGTAAAGGGTATTTCAGAGAAACCTTCCCACTCACTGAAACAGAAGCAAAACTGTGAAGACCAGAGGGGCAGGTCAATGTTCCCCAGTGGTAGAGCTGCTGTCTCAGTGGGCTCATACACATCAAGGCTAGCACCTAATAAATCACAGGATTGAGCAATAAAAGACCTTGTCCACGGTAGGAAAATGACCTGTTACTGACAGCTTATTGTTAGTAACAGCTCCTCACAGCCCCCTAACCTCAGCTGTGTTGAAAAGAGGCTGGTAGCTAAAACAAAAGGAAATTAATAGCTTTCAACTGCTTGATGAACCCAGGAGCTTTCCACACTGGGTCACCAGGCAAAGACAAGTCCCGTTTCAAGCACCGTAACGGTGAAACCATCACAAGCACCACAAGTAGGGAGACCTCATTTCTGCAAATAATATTAGCAAGCCTCTCCCTGCCTGTCAAAAGGACAAGATTAAAGAGGTGCATAAAAAGAAGTCTTTTCTTTCTAGAGCAACTCCTATGTAAAACTAAACCCATGGTGTTCTCAAATGACTCCCTGTTGACCGCAGGTTGTTCTGCCTTTGTGTCCTCACCTGGAAGGAGAAGAAGACGCTGGAATCTGCAGTCTCTCTCAGGAAGGTAGATAAAGCATCAACACAGCAGGAAGGTTACAAAGAGCAAAGAGATTATCAAACAAAAGCTCCCAGTGTTCAGGCACAAGGGCAGTAACAGACGCTAATTTCAAAGCAGTAAACTTCCCTCTAGAGAAAACAAAAGCTCTTCACAAACAGTCGCCTTCGCTTTCCAGCTCGCTCTCTATCCTGTCTCACTGTAAAATACAGAAAAGCTCAGCCTGACCTCTTTCTCTTACAGAAGCTTC